ACTTCCTGGCAAGTCAACGCACGGCCATCCTTGAGCATATGATTTTTCCGGAGACGATTAAAACACAAACTACGCTTTTTAACTTCTGAAATACGATTCGGCGGTCCGAGCTTCAAAAAATCTCCACAGTTATAAATAATGTGCGAACCCTTACAGAAAACACAAACAGATTCTATAGGAGAGAAGTAATTAAAGTATTAGCTATTTTTCTGTTCTGTGGCTTTATTATGTTTTTGAACAGCCTGGATTTGATGATCATGATACTTCGGCGCATAATTTTGATTAACGGCCTCCAAAAGATCACATCGCTTTTTCAGAAAGGTTCTTCAATTGTAGGATACTCACCCTGTATTTCAAACTGCTCCCACTCTCAATTAAAATCTGGATTAATAAGGTATCCCACATATCTATAGGATGTCCTAAAGCCTTGAGGCATCTTAAATGCTTATTGAGCTCATCACTTAGCACACGAAACGACGTGGAAGATTCCTTTAAGATGAAGTTCAAATTTAAAATACTTCTAACATGATTGTTCGTTATTAAACGCTTAGTTTGAAATCTCTCTGTGAGCAGTTTCCACGCCACTGCGTAATTGCTGCCAGTTACATCCAAAGATTTAATTACATCAGAGGCCTCTCTGCCTTGAGTAAAGATTTTAGGCAATAGAATTTTTCTACATTTCCTAAACTACTATTATTATGTATAAGCGACTGAAAAATATCGTGAAATTCAAGCCAATCGTGGTACTAACCAGAAAAATTAGGTAAGTTGATTGTAGGATATTTGATGTTGGGTAGTACGCCTCTGGCTTGTGGTGAACCTGAACCTGAGGGATTAGATCTATTAGAAATAAGAGAGGCAGCATCATTTTCCTCATTTTCGCGTATAAAAACACGAATCTGGGCGCTTATATCATAAAGGTTTTGTTCGAACTCTTCTCTAGATAAAAAAAACTCCGAGTCAAAATGCTTTCCTCGTAAGCCTCAGACGAAGTGCCCGCCAAAGGCTCTGCTTCAAAGGATTTCATACCGATTTGCTCTGGGATTTGTTTAAATTCAATAAGATACTTTTCTGATTCTAATAATCTAGAAGAAAGTTGTGATAGAGTTTCACACTAGTACAAATTCAAGCTAGGATAAACTAAAATGCTCTAGGATACGATTGTTAAAACGCTGTGTCTAGCCTCCCGGCACCGGTATTCATACGAATCCCGGTTATGACGCGTTTTCGATGACTCCATCAACGACCGCCGGGATTTATCGTGGATCCCGGCTATTGGATTCAAAATTCAAAGTCGTGTTTCTCTTGCTTTGTGATTAATTCCGGAATAGCTTTCGTGTATTATTGTTTCTTGTTGTGATATTGGTATTAGAGTGGTAAGTACTTCGTTAATCCACTTTTCGTAGTAGTGGTTTAAAAAGGGAATAGTATGGTTTATTTTCATTCATTATTCAGGACTATAGCTTTTTTAACAGCCTGTATCTCTGAAATAGGGTACTTTTGGACCCATGTTTATAGGAATTTTTTCTCTTAATTTGAGATGTAGAATCCGCAGTTAAAATATTAACCTCTAATTTTGGGGCACCCTGTGTAATGTTGCTGAACATTAACGGCGTTGCTGTACAAGATCAAATGCTGAACAAACTTTCAAAATGACCCTGTACCTACATATTATAATAAAAAGTCATAATTTTATTTTCCATTAATAAAAGCTCATCTTTATTTACTTTTTTTACTCTTCATAATAAATCTGCCCCAATACCAATGAACATAATAATTATTAACATCTTGTATAGCACTAGCCGGGATCCACGACAGTTACCGGTTGTTGTTGATGACGTCATTTAAAACGCGCCATAGCCGGGATTCGTATGAATACCGGTGCCGGGAGGCTAGACACAGCGATGTTAAAATGGAAAGGGCTTACTTGATGGCGGCGTCGACAGCGATCAATGGCAATTTACACTTTTCACAGGATCGATTTATTGGTCGATTTCAACCAACCACAGATTATAGCTGATGCTCACTGGTTTTTTGGCAGTAACCTGAGATCCGGTATCGAAGGACCAATGTTTATTTGTGAAATATAATTCTTATTTATTAATTTACTGTCAACATTTACAAAATAGTAAAAATAGGATGTTGACCTGAATCAGATTTTTACAGTCTGTTTTTTTCGCTGCGCTGAGAGTGTCGAGCGGTAATCGGCGGCAGCTTCTACCTGGAGCTGGAACTCTGTAACGGATGAGGATCGCTATCTCTATCGCTATGGCACTTATTGCTGTCTTCTTCTTTATTGTCGAAATCTATAGAGAGGAGACGTCAATAGAGATAGAGAAAATATCTCTATTTGTTACAGAGTTCGGTCCTTATTCTTGAAACAGGGGAGCAGCATTCCCAGGAGAACGAGTGTTCCGTCTTTGTTATCTGTATTATCATTTCCATATCATCGAGAAAGACGAAACACTCGTTCTCCTGGGAACGCTGCTCCCCTGTTTCAAGAATAAGAACCCTGGGGCCTTATTCTGTAGAGAACAAACGTTCGATTCGGTAGAATTTCTTCGATTGTGACGTCATTTTTGGTTTGATTTTTGGCGCTACCAAATCGAAAATGACGTCACAATCGAAGAAATTCTACCGAATCGAACGGTTCATTCCTTACAGAATAAGGCCCCTGGGCTGGGACTGTGTAACGAATAGAGATAATTTCTCTGTCTCGATCAATGATCTCGATTGACGCCCCCTCTCTATTGATTTCGGAAAGAGAGAAGAAGACAGCAAACGCCATAGCGACAGGGATAACGATCTCTATACGTTACAGAGTCCCAGCCCTGGGCCGAGATTCTAAAATCACGATTCGACACACGACTCGACAACGATACCGGACTTGTCGTGTCGAAAGGTATAATTCCAATGAGATTTCTAACCTAAAATCGTCGGAAAAATCGTTTCGTTGTCGAGTCGTATGTCGAATCGTGATTTTAGAATCCCCGGCCTGGGGCCTTATTCTGTAAAGAACGAACCGTTCGATTCGGTAGAATTTCTTCGATTGTGACGTCATTTTCGGAATAGCTTCCGCGCTAGCAAACCGAAAATGACGTCACAATCGAAGAAATTCTACCGAATCGAACGGGTTGTTCTTTACAGAATAAGGCCCCTGGGGCCTTATTCTGTAAGGAACGAAGCGTTCGATTCGGTAGAATTTTTTCGATTGTGACGTCATTTTAGGTTTGGTAGCGCGAAAACGAGCGAAAACTAAACCGAAAATGACGTCACAATCGAAGAAATTCTACCGAATCGAACTGTTGTTCCTTACAGAATAAGGCCCCTGGCATCGTACGCTTGTCGTCAGGGGTGCTCTATTTGGCTGTGTGCGCTTCGTATTCGAGCAATAGTGGCTACGTCGCTAATGTGGCTAGATGTTTTAAACCAGGGATTCTCTGCATCACGAACACATTTTGTACATTTAATAGTTTCTTTTAGAGGCATATCTAACACCAACATCGTTTTTTCAAATGAAACACCTTGTATTTGATTGCATATTTGGATTCTACGTAAAATGCTGAGCAAATTTCATTGTATGACCCTATACCTAAATTCAACTGTTTTGGAAATACCTACTGAGAGTTGAAAATTGACTTTTTTGCAACTTTGACATAGGCTGTAAAACATTTAGGCCAGGGCAGATAAATTTTTTCGTAACATAAAATTTAACAGCAAACTATCGATGCAGTATTGTTAAGGATCATTTATAGATGCTAAAAACCCAAAATGCAACAGCTAATTACTTTTAGTGGATTTTATAAACAATATTTAGTGCAAAAATAGGGCTTTTTCTTTGTTTATTTCACTGTATTTCGAAAACTAAGAATCGGATGGTTTTGCTACTGTGGCAATAGTTTTACAGCATTGAACAAGCTTTAAAATGAGCCATCATACAACCCTGTAGGTCTTTTAGTCTTCGAGAAATGATTTTTTTCCCCCCCAAAAAAAGAGATTTTCGTAAAAAATTCCTAACTTTTTTAATTTTCATGCTAGACAATTAATTTTTTACACATACATAGTAGATGAGGCAGGCTTTATTGAGCCCAAATTTGGGCCCGGTCCGATGGGTTGTTTCGGCATAATACCCTTGTCAAGCAAAATGGGGATGTTTCTAAAGCAGTCTGTCGAATTGAGGATAATTTTTTTATATTTATTTTGAAAGGTCCACTGATAAGTCGAAATGCCAAACTATCGATCCTCTATCTCAGATTTTCCATTTAATTTTTTTATCGCAAGTAAAACGGCTCCAAACATCACTGAAAATGGAAAAAAAATGTAATTTGCATGGGCGGGGGGGAGCTCGCTGTCACTCCGTTTGAATTCCTGTCAATTTTTTCCATTTTCAGTCATGTTCGAAGCCGTTTTACTCGAGATAAAAAAATTAAATGAAAAATCTGAGATAGAGGATCGATAGTTTGGCATTTCGACTTATCAGTGGACTTTTCAAGATAAATATAAAAAAATTATCCTCAATTCGACAGACTGCTTGAGAAACATCCCCATTTTGCTTGACAAGGGTATTATGCCGAAACGACCCATCGGACAGGGCCCAAATTTGGGCTCAATAAAGCCTGCCTCATCTACTATGTATGTGTAAAAAATTAATTGTATAGCATGAAAATTTAAAAAGTTAGGAATTTTATGCGAAAATCCCTTTTTTGGGGGGAAAAAAATCATTTCTCGAAGACTAAAAGACCTACAGGGTTGTATGATGGCTCATTTTAAAGCTTGTTCAATGCTCTAAAACTATTGCCACAGTAGCAAAACCATCCGATTCTTAGTTTTCGAAATACAGTGAAATAAACAAAAAAAGCCCTGTTTTTGCACTAAATATTGTTTATAAAATCCCCTAGAAGTAATTAGATGGTGCATTTTTGGTTTTTAGCATCTATAAATGATCCTTAACAATATTGCATCGATAGTTTGCTGTTAAATTTTATGTTAAAATATGGCTGTTATTTCGCTAAGTGCCTTGGCCTAATTAACGGTTAATTATAGAGGAAAACCGATCTCACATTCTTAGCTTATATTTTCATAAACTATCATTTGACACCAACTTTGAATTTATTCCATGATTGAAAATTCCAAATAAATCTATCTAATCTCTGGTTAAATTCAACTTAACTTTTACTGAAATAATGTTAACAAGTATTTGGGAAAACATTTAAATGGATAGAATAAGAAATATGTGAAATTTGTGATTTAAATATGTTTGTATTTTTTTTTTCAATTATCTGTTATGATATTTGGTTTCTACTTTATGAAAAGTCTGTGTTAGAATTTTAAAATTTCAGGAACTTCTATAGCACACATCTATTTATTTCCCTAGGCATGAAATAACATGAACTCCTACAGGAAGGTGGTCGCCTGTCACGTTAAACACCAAACTAGAACCGCTAGGTGGTACAACCTCACAGTTCACTTTGGTAAATAGTTTCATTTTATTTGTCTATTTAAATTTGAAAAAAATTAACTTATGCATTTGCTTTATGTTTAATTCTTTCGCGCATTTTTTGGAGATTTACATCTAGTTGTATGCTTTTAAGTTCATCAGGAATACCATCAAAAAATGTTAGGGCACCTTCATAATCATTGGTTAGATCTAAAAAAAAAAAAATTATATTTCATATTAAAAACTAAAACAAAAATGCTTACCATATACATCAAAAATACATTTATAAAGTAAATCGAAATTTATAAAAGTTGTTGGCAATCTACTACAGGCATTAGCTAAAGATATCAATGGCACAATGTTTCGTTGATCGACCCATCTTTCACATCTTTTGTGGAGCAATCCTTGAAATTGAACTGAAGAATTCTACAAACAAATTTTCTTAACAATTTAAAATTCACAAAGGTTCGACTTACAATCAATAAAGTTTTTCTCAGAGCATTTTCTTGTCCATTTTCTGCTAAAGCAGCAAATAATCCAGATTGGCTTACTACTGTTCCATGTACTGCCTCTGTTGCTCTCAGTACTTTTTCTAATTGCAGAGAATTTTCTGTTCTAGCTACTGCACGCAAGAGTTCAACTTGTAAAGGAGTACATTTGTGTTTTTCTGAAAGCTCTATATATTTTGCGACAGCTTCATCGATATTAGCACTAAGGAAATGATAATATTGAGTTACCTAGTTAGTTATCTAACTTGTAATCAAAAGTTGTACCTCTTTAGGTGAATCCTTATTAAAGGTCCTAACATTGCATTAGAAACTTTACACAACCGATTTTCTGTGAGTAACTTGAAAATCTTATCCATTTGATCTGCAGTTTTACAAGCAGATAGTAGTTCTCTGCAATTCCTTTCTATGACTTTGGTGTCTCGAATAGTTATGCTATAAATTTAAAAAAAAAAAAGGCTTATCCTAATATATTGGAGATTTCAATGTTCTGGGACTAACAGGGTTTGTTAAATAGAAATATTTTAAGCTGGCAGATAAACTAAAAATTCTTACATATTCAAAAATATTTATCTAGGCTATTGGCTACACCTTTGAAAGTTAATTTACCTCCCACAGTTGTTTCAATAACCGTTCGAGTGATACAAGTAAAGGTACTTTGAAAATTGCTGGGACATTTTTTCCATATTCTTTTAAGTATTGTCCATAATTTTTTGCAATATTTCTATTTAAAACTCGTTCACTATTCGACTTAGCGGCAAAATGCGATGATGTTTTCTGATTTTTTTCTAACTGATACTCTACCATGTGACATACAAAGTCCTATTTTAGGAGCCGAGAGACCGATTGTTTTTGAGCCACATTCTGTACGTCATATTTGATGTAAAATAAGCTTTTTACCATTCGGTTTAGCATTAAATGAAATTTCTTACATCTTTCGATGAAATCCTCAATTTTGATCTCTTCTAATAGGATAGCATTGTTCACAATTTCACTATTTTGAGACTCATTTTACATTATGGATATAAATCAGGGTAGTCTTTGTCGATCAGATCGAATAAACTATGTATTATCGGAGCTACCTATAGTTTTTTATCTGGATTAATTAAAATATACCTACGGATTTCTAATTTCCGTCTGCAATATAACAAAACCTTCGTCAAATCTATCATTATCAATAAGCAATTTCACCAAATCAATAAATTTGAAAGAATCCATATTGAAATCAGAATGTTTGATTTTCACTTCCCTATACAATTCCATAGCTTCATCTAACTGACCTCCTAATATGTAACTGTGCATTATTGAACTTTTAATTCCAGCTGATTCTTCATAACTTGAAAATCAAAATGTTATAAATTAAGACTGAAAATTTGCACTAAACTTACCCAGAATCCAAGAAATGTTTCCTCAATTCTTTAGCGCGTTGCGCATTTCCTTTAGCAGCATGCATCTGGATTAATTTTCTTAGTACTCCTCTGGTTTGCATATTCTTTTCTTGTAATTCAATTAGATGGCACTCCAAACCATCTAGATTTTTCTAGAAACCAAATATGTTCAACATTACAATGAATTAAAAATTCATTGTTAAACTTACAGGATGTGGAACAGCAATTTCTTCTGAAATGTTGAAACTAAAATCCACTAAAGCATTTATTGCAATTTCCAAGTCTTTCAAAGAATCACCACTTAATGCTTTACAAGCTTTCTTTATTACGTCTCCAGAATTAACAGTAAGTCTAAGTCGCTGATCTTGTATGGCCTATAAAAATACTTATTAAATAAATGTTAACATTTATCTGCCGGTCTGTACTCACTTTAGCTAGCATCAAAAATGATTCAACATCATTTGAACTGCACATATTAGCTACATGAATTAAAAAGGTTCCTACCACATCTTTTTCTAAATTATTAGATTCACAATATCTAGCTAGTACTGGTAAAATTGACTTCGTGTCTTTAGTGTAAGTCCAAGCTTTGGCCAATATTTGTGGAAAATCATCCCCTGATATGACAACATTGTAATGTCTACCTGAAAAGTTTATACATTAACCCACATTAATATCGATTAATTAATCAAGAACAAAAATTGCATTTTACAGTAGATACTTTGAGATGCGATTTTGCTATATGAACTTTTGATCTAGTGTTCACAGATGCTATGTAAATGCTTCACAGAGTAGAAGAAATAAACAGGAGCTTAAATACACTGTATGTTCCAAGGTGTATGTTTGCTTGAAGTATCCTGTTGAAATATTAGCGATGAAATTCATCTGTATATTGCACTCAACATAATCTACATAAGACCGACAAAACAGAGAAGAAATGCATTGAAAGTTTCATGTACCAGAAAAAGAAACAATAATAACAAATATTATAAGTAATATTAAATTATTGAATGGAATACTTATCATATTCTTACATAATTCAGCAGCTTTTTTTGTTTTCTTCAACTTAAGTAAAACTAATAATAAAGGACTGAGAATTTCTCGCACAGTAAATCCAGCATCTTGCAGTTTCAGCATCAATAAATTCATATTTGATAAATCGCAGTAGGGCATGACGTAATTCTCCAATGTTTCCCTATCCACTTTTATATTAAGTTCTTTTATACGTTTTAAAACATTCAAAACACCTAAAAATTATATTTTAGTTCGAAAATAAGATACCTTACAAACAATTTATTACCATTTTCGCCACTCTTTTTTCCATCTTGGACAAGTAAAGGCCAAAAGTAATGAGGCCTTACAATCTGCAGACATTTTAGAAGTGCCCAAGCTTGTTCTTGATATTTAAACCGTAAAGCTAGTTCAGTTAAATATTCGCAAATATAAAGATTTAGCTTTTTTTCAATTAAACTTTTTGCTATAGATATTATAGCTGATATTTCCTAAAATTAATCTCTTCAAAATTCAGAAAACAATTCAAACTTATTTACAATATCACAATGCAACATTTCCTTTAGAATCACAGCTCCATATGGGACGTCAGGATGTGGCTCCACAAAGTTTTCATAAATATTCATTGCAGATAACACCTGATTCATATGAACTAAATGGATACATATTTTTTCTATTTTTGTCTGTAATTCCCTGGTAATCGAAATATGTTTATAAAAATGAGGCACCTGAAAAAAAATGCTTAGAAAATGATATTAAAAAAAAACAAATCTCACTTCATTCAACAAAGATTCCAAGCCATTCAATCCTAATTCTAGAATAAAATATAAAAATTGTTCTTCATTTAAGTCGACAGAATATTTTTCTGAAGCTTTCTTCAACTCTTTTAAGTTTTTCCGTCTTATTACGCCTATAAAAAGAGATAGTATAGCCTGTTGATTATATGTTATCTGAGCTGTCTTTAAGGTGCTCATTACTTCTTCGCCTGCTTTTAAACCTCTAAAATCATTCATTCCATAATTGAAATCATAAAATCAACAAGAGTGTAATAATAACATACCCATTCAGAGTTTGTCCTAATATCAAACTATTCAAGGTCTCATTATCTAATGAGATTCCTTTGGTCTTCATAATTTCCAAAATTTCAAATGAATCATTAATTTTACCATACTGACAAACATTATCCAATAACATTTTATAAGTTTCTTTATTAAATTCACATTTAATTAGTAGCAATTCTTTGCTATAGATTGAAATTGAGTTTTCAGTGCAGGTTTGTATGTACCTGTTAAATATTTCAGTATCGAGATTGGCAGCCTTTTGCAAACCCGCAAATATGTCTTGACATACAGCATTTCTTTGCAATCGGGAGGAGTCTGGTACCTCTGATCCACAGTGTTTTAATAGCAAAACTGCTTCATCAGATTTGAGCTTATCTAAAAATTATTGCAATTTAAATATACAAACAAGGACGAAAAAATTTTGCTCACCAAATTCAATTGTATGAAAAACATTGCTAAGTTGCTTTAAATAAAAAACTTTTCCATTGTTGATGTGATTGATTAAATCATGTAGATCAAAGTTTTTTTTTCTAAAAGTATTATTTTGCCTTCGATTTGCTATGGTAGACTCTGTGAAAGAGGCCGAGGGGGCTTCACTATAACACCTAGAAATAAGTTACAAAATTTATTGCAATCAAAAAAATTATTAGGATGTTATCAAAGACCCGTTTCCAAGCAGGTTGTTTCCCACAGACACAGTCAGATATAAAAATGGTCATTGTGACTCTTAGGCACAAGCAGGGTCGGGAATTCCACTGTGGTAATTGGTTTTATACTCTATGGGCGAACTTCAAATCCAAGTTGAAAACCTTACTGATGACACTATGACTCAAGAAAACACGAGATGAAACAATATTTCACCTGAAGAGGAAATATACTCATTGGCTTTGAAAGATTTCTCCAATAAATTTACCAAAGGCGATATGACAGAAAAATCTTATTTTATGGGAAAAGCTAAAGGAAAAATTTGTCATGATTAAAAAAAAGGTCCTCGTTTTAAAGAAAAAAAAAAATTGAAAATGTTGCAATGAGCTAAATACTTTTCCTTGGCCTAAGGTAGGCAAAATTGCTGAAGTAGATAAAGCAAACCGAGAAGCAACCATTTCATGGTCCTATTGAGTTATAAGGTAGGTAACGGTCCATTTCAACTGAAAAGAGCTGGCGCATTATACATTTCCAAGAAATACAAGATCAAGCATCAGATTATGAAACAAAACAGTTATAATAATTAGCTCAATAATTAGTTACTTTTGCAGTGTATCATGTTGATTTTTAACAATTACATATATCATCTTCGTTCATATTCGAGTTTGTATTATTTAATGTACCTATAATAAAACTTAGCAAACGATTGAACTAATGACCAATATTTTTCAGCATAGCTACTAAATGATCTATTATGTTCACCTCGAATAACAGATAACAACACTAAGTGGTCAATACTTGAAACACAACAACTATCAACAAACCATTGAGAAACTGATGCGACATAATAAGGAAGGACATTAGTAAGACGTCGCTAAGACTGTCGTCGGCTAGACGTCCAAAACATATCTTCAGTTCGACATTCTATTTTGGACAAAAGTCGTATGAGACCAAAGTGGTCCAAAATTGGACGTCCTTTTGACGACATACTGGTCATTGTGGTAAACTGGGGTGTCTCCAAACAGTGAAAATTCAAAAGATACTTAAGTCTACTCATCTACTCAATTTTTCCTAAATTTTTGCTTTCCAATTCTCAAATTTTTCTGTCTAAATGTTTGTGTATTCCCAGCTCTTGAATTGTTTTCTTCGGAATACCTCCAAACAGAGAAAATTCATAAGCCTGAAATAAGAAAAGGTCATGATAGTTAAGGTCATTACAGTCTTTCTAGGCTTTTCCTCATTCACCTGCCTCGTGACCTGGTGATTTCCTGGCTTTCAGACCTCTGGATTCCCTAGGGATTGACCTTATCCCTGGTTCACGCAGTTTGTCGGCGGATTGATCAATCTCATCCTTATCTGGAAGTTCATTTAGGCAATCTTTCCGCTCTAAACTATTTGCGAAAGCTTTTACTTCATATCAGAGAATACAAAGGGGGTGTTCGCATTGGTGTGCGCCAAAAATTAAAGTTTTAGTATAAAAAAATCTAAGATTAACTGTTCAAACCTCGTTATTCTCCGATAAACCATCGCTGAGATATACCACTTTAAAGTGTGTGTGACGTCACAAGAGCTTCGTCCAGCCGCGCTCCGCATTGTTAATTTGATTGTTCCCGGCACGCGTGAGTCGTTTTTGACTAGATTATTGCAAGTGACACAGGAAAAACATATGTAAATTCAATTTACTTCTCGTACATCGCTTGAGCTTTCGTGACGTCATAGGGTGAGATTCGGTACCTTCATAGAGCCATATCTTCGGTATTATTTGTCATAGAGGGGTGCAGTTTTCACTGTTATTCTTAGATTTTTTTTCTCTTTTTTTTGAGCTGAAGTTGTTTTTTTGGCGCACACCCCCTTTAAATCTGTGAAATAGTCGAATGATGGTTTCCTTCTCACAGATACTTCTGGTTTTTAGAAATTTTCCTTAAATTTCTTCTCTACAGCCTGAATTTTTTCGTCCCAATCTTTGTCTATTCCCGGCTCTTCAAGAGCCTCTTGATACTTATAAGAGCCTGTTTATTCACTTTCTAATAAATTGTCAGGTAATGCAATCTGACAGATAAAAACGCAATATGTAATCCCATTGTCAACCAATTATCCAGTGACCAACAGGTTTATAGATCTGTAAATTTATCTTGCAGATAGTTACCAGCAAGTTCGCCAGCAAGTTTATCTCAAGATGAATAAACCGGGCCTAAGATAGAGAACATTGGATGTTACCGAATACAATTTTGATACAACAACAACAGATCTGGGAAAAAGTCGTCTGATCCAAATCCGTTCAAACATTTAAAATGCTGGGAGGATGTTTTCCAGCAGGTCTTTTTTCCCATTTAAACAAACATCCCAAGCAGCAAAGGTTAGTCGTTATGACGTCGATTTTAAATAGATTTACTTCGATTAACTAAAATTCGACGTCGGAAAGAGGTTGAAAAATATGACTTGTTTGGGACGTGACGTTAGTCACGTAGTGGACGTTTATTTCACCATGACATGAACCAACAGGTTCAAAAGTTACCATGTGAAACCCAATATGACCCATTCAGAAAAAATACCCTGTATAAAGATGTCTATGGAGCGTCCATTTGATGTCGTTGAATTGGGTTAGTTTGGGTTAGTATATTTGGTTAATGTGGATCGATTGAAAAGTTATATATCTACATAGTAATACCAGTACATATTATCTGATGCATAATAAGTATACGTTTGGTAACGACATAAAAAAAAATATAATTGTTATGCACTAAGTAGTTTTGGCAATTTTTGCCACTCAAATAATGATTATTCTCAAAAGGTTTTTCATCAAATTTTCGAAACAATCTGAAATTGGTGTTTTGTGCATTTCAGCAAATAAAGATGGAAGGATTTGTTTATCCCAATATTATTATACCTAATTGATGAATTATCACTGAAGAAAGAAAAACAGGGATCCGGTTAATGTAAACAAGCTATTGTACCTTTCTTTTTAGACCGTCAGATAGTGACATATTTAGGTGCCCCATTTTCGCATACAAGCCTCGAAGAGGGTTGAAAAGTACATCGATTTTGAGTAGGATGAAGGTATTTTTACGAGTGGCTCCTGGGGATAACGTATGGAAAATTCGATTTTCCCTAACAGAAATGGAAGACGTCCTGGTGCCCATATTTTCTAGCAAGCTGTGTTCATCAAAGAATTAATTAATTAAACCTGGCTTCGTAAAACAAAGAAGGGGGTGTTGCAGGTGGCTAAAGGTTTGGAATAAGGGCGTAATCTTGTAAGGAAAAATCGAGATTTTGGGCGATTATTCCACACAAGCCCATCGGAAGGATGAAAATCTACAACGTCGGTAGCAAGAAAACATATTGGCTTGAGTGTCGCAAATGGAAAATTACATTTTAGGGTAACATAAGTAAAAACGAATTTTCCATGTTATCCCCATGAGCCACTCGTAAAAATACCTTCATCCTACTCAAAATCGATGTACTTTTCAACCCTCTTCGAGGCTTGTATGTGAAAATGGGGCACCTAAATCTGTCACTAGCTGACGGTCTATTTCTCATCTATTTTTATATTCGTCATTTGGTAGTAGACTATTATGGAGAAATAAGCTATTAAAAAAATAATATTACTTAAGCTATGATCCTAACTGTCCTTCAAATCAGAATTTGGTAAGCTACTTCTAGTTGAGCATGTTTGGTATTAGACTTTAAGCATTTGGCCGTAGATGTTTTCAATAACTTCCTCTTAACAATTGAAGTTGCGTTTCACTGATATCCAGGGCAACAAATCATGGTTTGATTATTTCTTTTTGGTAATTGGTGTCCCCCGAGAGCAAAAGGATCGACCCTATGTGTACCAACCTATTTGATAAAGATATATTTCATTTCATTTCATATATAGAGTGCTTTGATTACAAAAATCTACAATCTATTTTTTCCCAAGATATTCAGGCATTGTGAAAATCCAGTAAAAAAAGAAGGCGGGACTGCCCTGTTTCTGCAATACCTACACCCCGCCAGTTAATTCCGTCTCTTTATCTATAGACCAAGCAGTAATGTTAGGAGTTCATGAGCTCTAGAGACTGACCGAGAGACAAAATGGGTAACTAACGACAAACTTTTGAGAAAGATGGAAAAAACAGAGAAATGCCACTGATTATGAAAAGTGGAAAAGCATTTGGGTAGTCAGACACAAAATGAAAAGTCTCAATGGCTCTCCCTGTGGTTGCGTTTCGGTTGACGCTCGACGGAGCGATCACGGAGTAATGGGACATCACAGGGACTGCACTGGGTTAAGCCAAGTAAACTTGTGCGAAACTACCTGACGATAGACGATACGTCTTGAGTCTTGCTTAAGACAATGGACATGTTTTAGAACTAATACTTAGGTATTAGCAGCCAGCGATAGATTGGGAAGCCTATGGAAGTGTGATCACCAATCACTAACGTTCAATAGTAGTTGACATGCAAATGAAGAAGAATCAATCCGTTCTCAGGACTTTTAACTTGGGTAAGACCAATATAACAATCAAAAAACTTACCTAATATTGGTGACATTTTTAAATAGGAAATTTGAAACTGAATTTTTCACAGCAACCCCATGCAAATTCTTATGTACAATTTCTCTAGCTAGAAGTCGTCCAAAAATGCTAATATATCTTTGCATTTCTTATTTAGCTCGAATATACTAATAAATATTGCTGCCGGTGGAAATTCGGAACTTTCTTTTAAATCCACAGAAGAGTAAAGAAAAATATTATGTTGAGAAATCAGAAATTGTGAGGTTAGTTCTCTTCAGTCATCTTCAGTTATAAACAAAAATCAGCCTGTTGGGGAGGCAGAATGACAGAATGACCAGAGAATTTCATTAGCAACTGACAGAGCTGCTCCGAATTCTGTTCTCAAAATAAGGGAGCATTCATCTCAACTATCTTTAAATTCTTCAAGTTTTTTTTTTATTTCTAAAGTTAGGTGGGCGACCTAAATTTTTGTTCTATTGGGAGTGCACTATATTTTTCTTCAAACCTCGTTTTGCACTAGGCGAATACCGGGAGTGCGTTCAAAGACGGCAATGCTAATGCCAAAACCTACTTTTCCCCATTCTTGCTTTTCCCCTTCTACCGGCAATGCCAAATCTGGTGTGAATTTGTTGGAACGCCAAATACCGTTTCTCCATTAGGCAATCCAAACCACGTGACATTCAAGATGGCGTGGCATCCACACACGGACGAAAAAACACACAAAAATATCTAGTTTCTGCCCAACTCAATAGTTTACGTACCTACAAATATTTTATTGAATAATCAAAATCAAAGCTGCAAGCAAAACTCGAAGCAAAATAATTGAAATATGCATGAAAACACATATTCAAAACTAACTTGCTGGCCGCCACGCCATATTGAATTTGGTCTCATCCAATCAAAATTCGTATAACCATTTCTAGACTCAGTTAAAAGCACCTCCAAAAGTTACTTTACCGCGGCCGATTCTGAACGTGTAAAGCCAACCGTTTTTGGCACGCTGGAGCCGAACTTGAACGTAATATGCCAATTTTGGCTTGGCTTTAGCCGTTTTTGAACGCAGCCCGGGGCAAAACTTGTTTCACTATTCGAAAACTCTGAAAGCAGAGTTGCCAAGTTGCACTTACCACTCGTTTTGGTTGCAACGTTGCAACCTCTTCCACCAACCGCAGAAAAGAAAAAAAAAACATGCTTTCAAGTGTCAAGCGAAAAGTCCAAACCTCCTAACCTCAGTTCAGTCCTCAGTCCTCAGTCCTCAGTTTCTCTTTTGAAAATAAAGTCACCAAATTCCACATTAACGTAGGTATCAAATTGTATATCGTGTTTCTTTATATACTTTTCTGCCTCAAGTTCACTAACCGACAAAATGAGAAGGCTGAGTGAGGAAAGGACAAAAGTTTTATTTGAAAAACTTGCAAAATAGTAAGTCCAAGGAGATGAAAACCTAAACTCTTTCCTAACAATTATTGGTTTTTCAGCATTGGCCCCAATATTAAACAACTTATCGAAAGACCTGATGGTGTATATTGTTTCAGAGAACAAAAAGATAGGGTTTACTATGTTTCAGAAAACCTGCTCAAATTAGCCGCCACTGTTCCCACAGAGAATATAGTGTCACTTGGAACGTGTTTTGGCAAATTCACAAAATCTGGAAAGTTTAAACTAAATATCACGGCATTGAATTATTTAGGTGCATATGCACAGGTAAGACAACAAAATACCATAATAAACCTTATTTATTCTCACTCACACATTATTTTTTTTAGTGTAAAATCTGGTTGAAACCATCAGCAGAGCAACAATTCCTATATGGCAATAATATATCTAAAGCAGGCCTTGGTCGTATAAGTGAAAATTGTGAGAAATATCAAGGGGTAGTTGTATACAGTATGTCGGATCTACCATTAGGTTTTGGGGTTGCCGCCCGGTCAACTGCTGAATGTAAAATGGCAGATCCAATTTCGCCTGTATGTTTTCATCAAGCTGATATTGGTGAATATATTCGGTGTGAAGAAGATTTATTGTAAAATAGGCCAATAAATAATTTTCTTTTTAGTTTGTTTTTAAATGTTTAGCAATATTTAATATGTGTCTCATCTTTGCTCTTTGCTATAAATATGTAGCATCATACATGCATTAGCCATTTGTATTTGAAGGAAACGAAGTGCATTTTATTTCTTCCAAAATATGTGAATGATGTTTAAATTACATTTTTCTCCCACAATAACATATTTTCTTTAAGACATAATAATGAAATTTGAGCCAAAATGAGATTCATAGGCTAAAACACAAATGAAATTTATGTAAAAAGAGTTGCGAAACATGTACCCCCATATATGAAGAAAAAAGTTTGAAGAGGCCACTTTGAGCTTGTCCAAAAAAGTCAGCTTGAAAATGCATGTATTTTCAAGCTGAGTTTTTTTTCTTATTCACACAATTATAGATACCACTACTATCTTTCAACAGAGTGTTTTAGAATACTGCCTTAAATTGGGTTTGAAATCAATAGGTAATCAAGGGTTGAAAATGTCAATTACAAAACTGTAGTTACTATGGCAAAAAAGAAGAGATATACGATATACCTTTTCTCTCCCCAGGAAGCAAAATAGTACTTCACTTAAAGCTATTGGAAAAAAAGTTCTCTTTCAATCTTTGAAAAAAATATATTCTCAAAAATCACATACATATAGCAATGAATATTCTAGTTAATATTGCAATTTGGTAAATGCCTGATAAACAGTCTTGCTAAGCACAGCTCCAATCGATTTATTAGATGAACCATATTTTATACCAGAAAGAAGTTTCTCACCTAAACTGCCAATATTTTCATTATATGCCATTTTTAGCATAATTGGTGTAGGATATTTCTGGGTTATAGCTAAGGCTCTCTCCACCGACATACCTTTAATTTGTATGAGCATCTTCACGAAAAGGTCGGTGACTTTCATTCGCTAGAAAAATTCATTTAGATTATTGCAAAAATTGTTATAATAATTGTGTTACCTTATTTTTTACAGAAGATTCATTAAATTCCTTAAAAGCCATTAAATGAATCGAGTTAGTATTGATATCCACTGGCTGTATATCCTCTTTATAGCAACTTCCAAGACTTTTTGACTTAAACAATTAAACATTAAACATTTGACTTTCAAAATTAACACCATTTCTCACCTTAAACATTTCAACAAGTATCTTTGTAAAATGCACTAAATATTCCACAGTCTCCTTCATATTTTCTGTAAATTTTATGAAAAAATTTTCCTGTATAGCAGTATTTGTAGCGGCTTGATATAAACTTTGCAATGGCAAACCTAAAGAGTGTTGATTTTTTCCATGGCTTTCAACTAGATAAGTCAAGTTTTCTATGCCAGACTTCTTGAGCCTAAACTTTTGTTCATAATACCTAAAACAAGTCCTATTTAAATCAATTCCTTAATAACAAGATTTTACCTTTTATCTCTAATACTATGAGCAAAATCATCCATTCTTTTTCTCTCAATTATATAAGGCAAAACTAATTCTTTTCCAGTCAATCTATCTCTACAAATCCAAGTGAAATCTCCAACTTTCAGGCTTTTAACTTCAAATTTTATTGTGGATTTCCTTAATTCTACTAGAATTTCATCTTCTTGACTATTTGATGAGCTGCAATAGGTAATGTAGTATTGATATTTCCTCAAAGATCATTAAGCGATCATTACCCAGAAGTTTCATTGTTATCAACATATAAAATAATATCAAAACTATAAGGAGCCATACTAAACTGTTCATAAGAACTGCAAGAACTTTTTGTTGAAGTAACTGAACTACTTGAAGCGTATCTTTTTAATGGAACCTTTGATGGAGCTAAATTTTTAGCTTGTGGAATTATTGGATCTGATGCATATCTTTTAAATGAAACGTCATTAGTTTCAACAACCTTTTCACTATTTAAATTTGTATGGGCATAATTAATTTGTTGAGAGAAAGTATCATTATCAACACCAACCCAAGCATCATCAATAAATTCATCTGGAATATCAATAATGCCATAGCATTGAGAAATGTTGTTATCAAGAATATTAGTTTTTGCAAAAATTGTATCTTTCACTGGTACATTATTGTCATTTATCGAACTAACACTATTAGAATTTTCATATATCTTTTTCGCCAAAATAATTCCTTCATCGGTAAGTGAAAACTTAGGAGGATGACTAGCTTTGGACACCAAGTTTTTAGTTAATAAAGTTTTCATTGAAGACCAAGCAGTGTATCTAGATCCAGGCTCTGGCTTTGTAAACGAGGCATTGATTAATAAATCCTTTCCGTAATTAATTATGTCATCTTTTTTGAGGAAACCTGGATAATTGTGTTCCAGGCTCTGTTTGTATAATGCTACTAAAATAGCATAGGCCCCTGAACCGTACTGGGGAATGTATTCCTTTCTGGAATGGGTTTTATTTGGAGTAGTTTTGGACAAGTTTCTAGGCCTTTTATTTTCCGCAGTAGTTTGAGTAGCCGTTGGCAAAATATTTGCTGCGTTGTTATCACTAATATCTCCATTGTACTTTTTGTGTGCTTTTAATTTATCATCCAACATTTTACACAGCCTATCTCCAAATCCTTTCAATATTTTACATTCCCTACCTGACTCAAAAGGCAATGGATATTTTCTCAAGGATTTTAGAGCTAAATTGAAGCTGTATTGCATTTTGGACTCTAGGAAAAGAATAATACATTATTCTGGAAAAAAAAAATGTGGAATTTCTTACCTTTTGCAGCTGCCTGATCCCTCCAAGTGAGTAACCATTCTTCAAAAAGAGGATTTGCACATTTTAATTTCACTGTAGCTCGTTTTTCCTTTGATGAATTCATTTTTATTATTTTAATAAAATTCGTTCTGCTTGTTTTTGAATTTTGTGTATTATTTATTTGTTCAATTTCAAATAAAACCAGCTGATTTTTTAAAAGGCGTTTTTCTGAATATACCGGATGGACCGGTAGAAACCAAGGATATTACCCACTAGTATATTCTTGGCGACCTAATTTTTCCAAAGATTATGTTGGGTTATAGACAGTTGTAGTCGGTAATTTGAGGATTACCCAACAAAATAGAACATGATCTTTGGAAAAATTATTTCGCGAAAAATAGCCTACTACCAGGATTGTAGCTGCTTCAAATAGCTGCCTCGATTTTTGGAATCGTCACGTGGTGTTGCACCGTTGTCGGCGTCATCAGCGGTGTCGTTAACAGTTTGCGCCAGCGGTTGTAGTTTAAAATATACATAATGGATGAAAAATATTATTTACTTAATTTTGATTAACATGATTGGCAAAGAGGAAAATGCAAACGAGATCCAAAAACGGGTTGTTTTTATATTAACTTGCGTGCACATCGCGTGCACGTCACCAACATATTGTGACAGTCATGTTTCCCAGGGGGCCTGTCACCAATATATTGGTGACGCGTAGTGTTTCACTGCAAGCCGCGTCACCGTTCCTTTGGTGACGTTATATGTATTTTTAATGGTCTGTATTCAAGGTGGCTCCCTGAGAAACATTTTCATATTTTTGGTGTGAGTAAATGAATTCAAATATTCTTTTTATCACCAATTTAGTAAAACTGTGAATAAAAGAACCTTGTAATCTCGGTCTTGAACTTTGCCATGAAAAGTTAATTTCCGGGAAATGAACCCATTTCTTGACAATCAAAACCTAGTAAACAAAGTTCGTTTTTTCAGTGCTCCTTATTGAATCTCTGCAGATATCTGGAATAACAAATACATATTAGTACAGAGATTTTTTCAATGTCACCAATATACAGGTGACGTGGCTCGGCCCCCGGGGAAGTTTTCCCTAGACCATGGCACGCGCAATGTGTTAATGCACTAAAACCAAGTATGCATAAAGCAGAAGCCAGCGGAATGATAATGTGGTGCAAAAACACTGGACAACAAAAAATTAGGCAATTTCAAAAAAATAATAATTTAACTATACTCGGAACCTTAAATGCTCCCAGATCGCACCACGTCTGCGCGGTGACGTCACAGATCTCTGCGGGAGTGCCCTGGGAGTGATAATCAAATGCCCATTTCCACCAAACTATAACTAAGCATTGATTAACATGTATTTGTTACATCAGCCGCAGATGTCAATTCGACGTAAAATGCATTACCGGAGTTTAAAACAGTTATAAGACTATCCAAGATGCTGTCAAACTTAAATTAAAACCAATGAACTATAACCAAAAACTGGAATGCTAACACATAAGGAAGAACGTGAAGCCTAGTGCAGCTGCTGCGGAGGGGATACCTGTTTTTGTCGCACTCAAATGGCGAAAATTGCTTCCAACACGTAATCCAATTGATGAAACCTGTGAAGGAAAATATGACAAAACTTTCGAAAACGTCATATGTCAGCGAGCAACAGAAAAAAACAACATTCCCCCTTGTAGCATCTGTCTTTCATGGCTTCATTTTTTGGGCAGATATGGCAATGTGCGCGCATTCCAGTTTTTGGCTATAGTTCATTAATGGCCGTTCCCACCAACTATTTTGGGGGAGCCTTAACGATAAGTATTCCCTAAACTGACATTTCTCTATGTAAAAATGTCATTTTAGGGAATACCTATCGTTAGGGCTCCCCTAAAATAGTTGGTGGAAACGGCCATAATTAAGGCCCAGTTGTACAATCTTGGTTCAAAGCAGAGTTCAGCTAAACTCGACTGGTACTTGAACTTCCCCATTTGAAATGCATTGCTGTCAAAATTGATAGAATTTGATTAATAGCTGACAGCAATGTATTTTAAATGGGAAAGCTCAAGTACCAGTCGAGTTCAGTTGAACTTTGTTTTGAACCGAGATTGTACAACTGGGCCTTAAACTACATTAAAACCATTGTTTGCTTGTCAAAGTCACATGATTTAGATAGGCTAAGGGCCGGTTTCTCAATAGCGGGTCACCTCCAAGTTAGTTTTAACCCCAGGGTACACGTGTCTAGTTGATATGTTTACCCTGGAGTTATGCTTAACCCGGGAGTGACTCGCTATTGAGAAACCGACCCTAATAGGCTAAAATAAAAAATGAATTCCTAAGGGCCGGTTTCTCAATAGCTAGTCACCTCCGGGTTGGTTTTAACTCCGGGCGCATTCACGATTCGACAATCTGGGTTATATTCTACCAGAGGTAAATCTTCTTGTAGTAGGTAGTTGGAGTGACTTTGGGTTAAGAAACGCTCCAACCAACGTGAATTGTGACATTTGTTGTCTCCATGTTTTGGGTTTTGATTTTGCATCACATAAAGTCCGTCGATTATTTTATCTGATGCTCGAAAGAAATGTGAGCTGGTGGCACCCTACATAAGTACGCCAATGGTCACCTGACGTCACATCTGTTTTTGCCATATACTTCACCCCCTCGCTCCTCATACGGAAAGTGTCAGATGAAAATCGACGAATAATACATTCGTTGTTTATATCTTCATTTTATTTGCGAATTGGATTTCTATGTGTTCATGGATCCAGCTACCTTGTGATGGTCTAGAAATTAAAAAAAAAAACACCATGAAACTATCGCGCATATCGAGTAAATTTTACCTAGCCGATTTTGAACTGTGAACGCTGGGTGTAATTTTACCGGGTTGAAGCTGAAGCATCCCGGTTCGTGAACGACTTATCCGAACGCTAGAGCGCGCCCAGAGTACGCCCGGGCGTCTAGTGAATGCAGCCCAGGTTAGACGTGTCAAACAATGTTCACTCTGGAATTATGCTTAACCTGGGGGTGACTTGCTATTGAGAAACCGCTCCTAATTCCTAAGGTCTGGTTCCTCAATAACGAGTCACCTCCGGGTTGGTTTTAACTCCAGGGTAAGGGTGTCCAGTTGCTATGTTTACCCCGGAGTTATGCTTAACCCGGAGGTGACTCGCTATTGAGAAACCGGCACCAAGGGTCGAGTTCTCAATAGCGAGTCACCTCCGGGTTGGTTTACAATGTTTACCCTGGGGTTATGCTTAACCTGTGGGTGACTTGCTATTGAGAAACCGGCCCTAAACGCTAAAATCACCGTTTCTACGCTTAAAATCTCACCACAAGCATAACCTGAATCCTCTCATATCTCTGCCTGTGAATCGCAAGCCATTCGTCAAGGTCTGCGGGTGACGTTACCACTATCAGCTGCGCTGCGGATAGTGGTGACGTCACTCGCAGGCCTGTTGCCGACTCGATAACTGGCGAAGGAACGGCTAATTATTAGTTGAGCAATCCTCTTTGTTATTGGTTGATAATAGTCGTATTCCTTTTACACCTATGAGGAGCTCCAGAACAGCTCCGGGGCTTCACGTTACGCGGTCATTCCTTTCGAAAAGTGTTTGTTGCACCTGAGTTCTCAAGCCCGAAGTAAACCATTTAAATGCATGAGAGCCAGCGCATCTGTTCCTTTCAAATCGGGGCGACTAACACCGGAGCGAGTAGCTCTAGTGTTTTGAACTCTTGCTGGAGTGCGAACAGAGTCACTCGGAGTGTGGAACCCAGCTGAACGACTAGCCGCTTTTTATAGCTGAGTTCGGCTATTCAGCGCGGAGTTGGAGTGGAGTGAACAGAGCTAATGGAGTCACCCCTAATACCGTAAAAAGCAATAACCGAACCTTAACCCGAACGGCTGGAGTGCGAATGGAGTCACTCCGAGTGCACGGAGTGAGCAAGCCGAACTCACCCTATGTAGGTCTGTTCGCACATTAATCACAAACCAGTCAGAGCGAATTTCATTGTTTGAAAACACGCCAATCGTAAACTTGGATTTTCAGAAGGCGTTTCATACTTTTTGGTTGTGGTTTATGTGCTTGAACTTGAAGAACCTTTTTTCCAAGCACGTGCTTTAATACCAACCAGCATTTCTCAGTATTTTCATAGGAAGAAAAACAAGTTAATTTTGAAAAAGTAATTATGGATGTTGACACGGAAATTCAGGTACACAATGAACAAGCATCCACATCATGTGCCTCTGGTCAGGCCTCTGCTTCTACATCTTCAGAAATGAAAATACCACAAGCACCAGTACAATTTGAAGTGAGGCAAACTGATACATCCAAGGTAGTTTTTTTCTGTTTTTTTTTTTAAATAGAATGATAAACTAAATACTAAATACCAATCATATTTCAGGGTAGATGCCTAGTTGCAGTCACTGCTATTCCTGCAAAAACTGTAATCTTTGAAGAAGAGCCTTTTGTATTCTCTCAGTTCGCTTGGAATAAACATTGTGGTTACTCAGCTTGTGACCATTGCTTAAGGTAGGTAATCCCCTCGGTAATCCCATTCAGCAATTCACAATCAATTATTAGTGGAAAACAGAAGTCGTCTAGGGCTGTACTAAGGGGGACATTTCATTATGCTCTTTATAAATACTGAAATTGTCTTTAGTAAGTACCTAGTCTAATAACATTTAATATTAAGATACGTCCACACCAAAAGCAACATAGAGGAACATTGTGTTTATGTTGCTTGCTTGTTCCTTGTTCCCGGAACTTTTTTCTGCATGTTTCCAAAAGTTTATTCAAGTTTCCTTATTGTTTACAGTAGCAGCAACAAAAGTTCCCATACGTTGCTTGTTTCCAGCAAAGATCGAAGGAAATAAAGAAACATGGGTAAATATTTTTTTGTTCCTCATCTTTATTTTTATCAGTGTTGTTGCTGTTGCTTGTTTCCAGAAACAGTTTGCGGCAACCAGCAATGAAAGGTCCCTCTTTGTTTATTTGGTGCGGACATAGCTCTAAGTTATTAACTAACAGGCAAGATTTATTTCCGAATGTCTTTCCACATTCCACATATTTATCTCCTTGCAAACAAAATCAAATACATGAAAAAGCATTGTCACAAAATTTTTGTGCCGAGTTCAAAAGCATACAAAAATAGGAATGAATTATATATATATATATATAAATTGGTGAAAAATCAGTGTAAAAATTAAGTAAGACCATCTTTTTGAATTTCCAAATTTCCTCCATATTCCTGATTTCAGCAGGCTTTAAAACCCTGATAATAAGTGCGTCTTTCAAAAAATGTGGAGCGATGTGTCAGGGTGCAGAGCTCATCCCTACCTCTGGTAAGTGTACCAATGGTATTGGCATAGCCATCTTGATTGGTTGCGAATAGGTGTCGATTTTTTCTTGACAAAAGTAACCAGTGCAACAAAATACAATCCAAGGTTGTCGGCCAGGGGGGGAGAGAAGGAGAACACGAATTTTTAGCATATCAAATTTTAGATCTTTCCGAAGTGCGGCGTCTGAAATTAATTGGGAAAATATTAAGAATTCCACAAACGCGTTGGAAACTTTTCAAAAAACTCTCCAAAAAAATCTTTAATAAGTGTTTTCCCTTACGAACAATAAAAACTAAAACAAACAAAAACAAATTGTGGATAACAAAAGGAATTAAAGTTTCAGGTAAAAATTTAAGATCGCTACACACACTAAAAAAATTTATTAACTCTAACTGGTTTAATGTTTATTTTGTGTCGTATAAAAAAATTTACAGGAAAATAATAAGACTCGCTAAGAAACAACACTATGAAGACAGAATAAAAAATGCAAACAACTCCAGCCGAGAATACTGGAAGATCGTGGGTGAGATGCGAGGAAAACAGTCAAAACAGAATAAAGATATAAATGTGAATCCAAGAGAACTTAATCAATTTTATTGTAGTATTGCTGAAAAACTCACGAATGGCTTGGAAACTTGCAACGATCCATTAAATTATCTTGTTCCGTGTAATCAGTTTGAAATTTTCAAGCTCATACCTACAAACAAAGATGAATTGAAATTAATAATTAAAAACATTAAGAAACAAAACTCGTCTGGCATAGATGACATATCAGTGAAGATTTACCAGACAATGCCTTAATAAGTCTTGCCAGTAGCATTAATAAATCCTTTGAAACAGGAAACTTTCCGGACTGCTTAAAGTTAGCGGTAATTCTTCCCATCTTCAAGGGGGGTAATGAAGATGATCCATCTTCTTATCGACCCATTTCCTTATTGACAACGCTATCAAAAATTATAGAGAAGATAGTAAAAAAGAGGCTAGTTGATTATTTGAAAAATAACAACATTCTAGCTCCAAACCAGTTCGGATTCCAGGAAGGCAAAGGGACAAATGATGCAATGTTTTCACTCCTTGAGAGTCTTTTTTTCGGTTTAAACGATGGTGAGAAGGCTGCGGTGGCGTTTTGTGACTTTTCAAAAGCATTCGATTGCGTAAGTCACGAAATACTACTGCGGAAACTAAGCCATTATGGTATCCGAGGGCGGGAGCTCGCCTGGTTTGGATCGTATTTGTCTGGGAGAAAACAATTTGTAAGAATGCTAAACAGGGAGGACTCAGAAACTCTAAATCTATCTCGCGGTGTGCCACAAGAGTCTGTACTCGGCCCGGTTCTCTTCCTGCTCCACATTAATGATCTTTCTCTTTTGTCAATACTTGGTGTCTTCGTAATTTTCGCCGACGATACGACTATTCTATGGAAGCACAAGGATGCAGCAGTTTTGTCTAATATCATAGAAAAAGATCTAGTTTTAATAAAGGAATGGTGTGACGCAAACTCTCTTGTATTTAATGTTTCAAAAACAAATATTCTATCATTTAAATGCTCACTAGATACCATTACCCTAAATGATAAATCTCTGCAAGAAAAGTCGACTGTTAAATTCCTTGGTCTTCACATGGACTCTAAGCTCAAATTTGAAACCCACATTGATTTACTTAATAAGAAATTATCACAAGGCTGCTATTTGATAAAAAATATATTACACGACTTGGGCAAAGATATAGCTAAAGCAGCTTATCATGCTTTGATGGAATCTCATATCAGATATGGAATACCCTTCTGGGGATTCTCAACCCAAGCCTCTGTTCAATCAGTGTTTATTTTACAAAAAAGAGCCCTTAGAACTTTATGCGGAGTTAGTTGTCAGCAAACCTGTAGACCACTCTTTCTACGGGAAGAAATTTTGACGGTTCCATCAATTTTTATAATGGAAATAGCTTGCCTTATACATAAAAAATTCCAAGGTTTTAACAGAACTGAGTCTCATAATTTGCGAAGTTACCATAACAACTTACCGTTACCCATCCCTAAATCTACTCTGACAAAACAATCTGTAATTTACGAAGGAATAAAGATATTTAATAGTTTACCGGATGACATTAAAAGTATAAATGTATATAAAAGGTTTCGAACAAAGCTTAAAGAATTTTTAATTAGTGGGACTTTTTATAGTTTGGGAGAGTATTATAATAGGTGAAGCCAAAGCGCGGTTTGTTGATGGTCTTGTGTAGCCTGGACTTGTGTAATCTGGATAGTTTGGACAATTTAGATTGTTTATCTGTATTTATTTATTTATTTGTTAATTGTTCAATTTTTTAAAGTCTACATCATGTTTATAAATTTTAAAACTTCGTTTGTTTGTCGAATAATCTTGTGAATGTTTTTGATTTTATCTTAATGTTGATTTTACATGCTCGTACATTTTATACTGTTTTTCTGTGTTTCAAATTTTATATTTGTATTTTTATAGACGAAATTATTTAGTGTTGACATAGATTAGGTAGTAATAGGTATGAAAAAAAATTGTTTAGAACTAAGTTTTGCTTTGTCAATGATCTTTTGAAAAAATTAGGACAATAAAGCTTATTTGAATTGAATTGAATTGAAGCACAGTAAATATATTCAAGCCCTCAAAGAAAGGCCTACAAGAAGTTCTGGGATGAATATGTAGCATACATCTAATTATACTTTTCTGAGTTCAAAAAATGTTGTCAGAGAATCTGGATGCTCCCCAAATAGTGATTCCATAATTTATCTGAAACTGCACATAAGCAAAGTAGAAAAGTGTGTGGCAATCAGAGGTCATGCTGTCTCAAAGTCTGTGTTTCAAGGCAAACTTAACCGGAATTTTCAATCATAGATTAAATTCAAAGCTGGTGTCAAGTGATACCTAGTTAATGAAGAACTAAGACAAGAATGGGTTTTGCTTATCATACTAACATCCTTAAGTTTGCTTTTCTGAGTTTTGTCTGTGGTGTATTCTTCAATTTTATTGTCTCTTTCCAGTATTTCTACTTCTACTTCTGCTTTACTGTTATATTTGAAAATCACACTGCCTGTTCTGGTATATTTCAAGTTTCTCATTCCTCTGCTTATTTTATCCGGTTTAGTTATTTGCTGCATTTGTATTTCTTGTTATCTAGGCATCTTTTTTTGGTTAGGCTTGAAGATTAGGCTGTGAAAATTTGTTTTACTTGTGAGATGGCTGTGTTTTGAAGCTATTTCCCTATATGAAGTCTTATTTTTCTTATTTTCATCTAGTTATGAAAATGTTAGTCTCAATACTATCATAAAATTCTATTCACGCAAGGAGCATTCTACAGTAGCTATTATCTAAAAACAAAAAAGACCATAATATCAAAGAGCTTGAAATTAACAATGAGATAATAAGCGAACCCCAATTATTGTGTAATAATCTCAATGACTATTATATTAATAGCATTCATGGGATTGTGTCTGAAATCGACGTAAATGAAGGAATTCAATGTATTGACTAAATAAAAACACCGCCGGGAGGTTTAGCACGGTTTATGCCAATAACTACAGATCAACTGAAGGAAATTGTTTTTCAATTACCATGTAAAGGTAGTCCTGACGAGCTATCAGCGGACTTCATAAGTTATTTATGAACAATTTATCGAATATATTTCAGAAAAGAAAATATTGTATGCAAACCAATCGGGTTACAGACAAAATCATAGTTGCGAAACAGCCATACAAAATATTTTATATGATTGGAAGAACCAACTGGATAGTAATGTTATGATTGGGGCGGTTTTTCTTGATTTTAAAAGGGCATTTGAGACTATCAACAGGTGTAGCTTGGTGCAAAAATTGCAAAAATATGGTATAGAAGGTGTAGCTCTAAAGTGGTTTAAGAACTATTTGCAGAATAGGAAACAGAACACATACATAAACAAGATCACTTCTCCGGAAATTTTAAATGATAATGGCGTACCACAGGGAAGTAAATTGGGGCCATTACTGTTTCTTATATATATTAATGATATTGTTAAGTGTATAACAAGCTACCAGATCCATCTATTTGCAGATGACACTTTAATTTACTTCTGTTCTAGAGATTTGAAATTGGTGACTGATGCTATCAATGGAGACTTGGAGAATGTATTATCGTGGTGTAATGGAAATTTACTAAAATTAAACGCATCAAAAACAAAGTTTATGCTTATTGCTAATAATCAGCAATATAATATGGCAACTCCATTTAAAATTGCCATTGGAAGTGAAGATATTGAGATGGTTGAAGAGATCAAGTATTTGGGTGTTATAATTGACAGAAGGCTTCAATTTAAGGAATACATTAATTATATTACTAACAAAATAGCAAAAAACACGGGTGTCCTGACTAGAGTAGCACCTTTTCTATCAAAGTGGACTCGCATCATGGTGTATAATACCATTATTCTACCACATCTTACATACGCATCATCGGTGCTGTACATGATGAACAAAAACGGAAAAGATAGGCTGCAAAAGTTACAAAACAAAGCGATGCGAGTAATACTTCATTGTCCCAAGGACACAGCGGTTAGATCTATGCTACTGTCTCTAAACTGGTTATCCATGGAGAATTTTTTAAATTATCAAGCCATGACATTCATTTATAGAATAAAGAGTTCTATAATGCCAATGTACTTGTCATCGAAACTGCTGTACAACCGTAACGTTCACGATCACAATACAAGATCTCAGAATGATTTGCATGTAGCAACCAAGAATAAAAAGAGCACTGAAAGGGCATTATTCCATAATGGCCTAATTAATTATAACAAAGTACCAAATGATGTAAAAAGCAGCTCAACGCTTAATATATTTAAATCGAAACTGAAAAAGTTATTATTCGACAAATAGCTTGATGTGTGGCTGTTTAAGATGCTTAGAAAGGAATCGTTGAGTGTTTTATGTCTGAATGTGTAAATATACCCTGTTTGTAGCTTGTGTTCAGTGTGACAATGTACTACGTACTATTATTGAAAACTATGTTTACTTTCTATAGCTGTGGCTAAAATAATCTTAGTTTAATTTCTTATTTTTATTTTATTTTATCAAATTTTATTAGACATGTATTGTATTGTGTGCTTTATTTATTTATTTATTTATTTACGTATAAGAAAAATACATTTGAAGTTGAACAGAGTTTACATCTAAAAAAAAAAAAAAAATCTAACCTAAAACAATTCTCCTGGCCTTCATCTTAAATTTATCCAGAGATAAACCAAAGAACTCAAGGCCCTCACAGAACTTATTTACATTGGCAGATATTCTATTCACAGGACTGAATAGTAGGTACCAGGTTCGACAGTAAGGAATGTGCAGTAAAGATTTACTTCGTGTCTGATAACTTTGAATGTGTAGATTAAAACATTCAAGACATTCGTGGCTTTTTATGTAGTAGTTAAGAATTTTAAATGCAAAACAGACATCAAAATATTCCCTTCTGCGAACAAGAGTAGATAAGTCTAAATAAGTCATAGTCAGGTCATCACTGAGAATTACACCACTCAAAGAAAGTTTGTACCTTGCAAACTTAATAAATTTGTGTTGAACACTCTCAAGCCTATTGATGTGGATCTGATAGTAAGGTGACCAAACTATGCATGAAAATTCAAGAACGGACCTGACCAGTGATGTGTAAAGAATTTTGATAGGGCGTATACTTGTAAAGTCCCTAGTAGCTCTCTTAATAAACCCCAACATTTTATTAGCCCTGCCAATTACCACTTCAAAATGCTCAGTGAACATTAGCCTAGTATCTAGATAGACACCAAGATCTTTAATGATAGAAACTTCAGACAAGCGAACATTGTTTAAGTAATACTGCAAGGGAACACTATGGGTGCGTCTACTGAATCTTATACAACAGCACTTATCGATGTTGAGGGACATGTAATTAAGCTGACACCAATCGTGAACGATGTTAAGATCATTTTGCAAAATAAGTATGTCTTGAGTTGACGTCACCTGACGATACAACTTCAAGTCATCAGCAAAAAGTAAAAAATTTGACGAGAGCAACGATCCTAAATCGTTGATAAATAAGCTGAATAGAAGGGGGCCCAAGTGAGAACCTTGGGGTACCCCAGAGGATGCATGGAAAAGAGAAGAAAGATAGCCATCGATCTTGACTTGTTGCATTCTGTTAGTAAGGTATGATTTCATCCATGAAAATAAATGTCCAGAAACGCCGAAACTTGAAAGCTTTGAAAGAAGGATGTTGTGATTTACCTTATCAAAGGCTTTACTGAAGTCAGTATATATTGCATGAGTTTCTGCATTATTAGCAAATGATGAATTTATGAATGTTGTAAAGAGAAACAGGTTCGTCTCAACGGATCTACCGGCTGTAAAACCGTGCTGTTGACTGATCACAATCTGATGAAATATTTTTGAAAGAATTCCTTCCACGCACTGCTCAAATAATTTTGGAATCGCAGACAGAATGCTGATGGGTCTGTAATTTATTACATCATTTTTGCTGCCTGACTTGTAAATAGGACAAACGTAGGAGAGCTTCCACATTTCTGGAAAAATTCCAGAAGATAATGATTTGTTGAAAATATTAAACAGAGGAAGATACAAAGTGTTAGAACAAGATTTTAGTACTTTGTTGGGAATACCATCAGGTCCTGCAGACTTGTTGATGTCCAATTGCGTTAAAGCCCTCTCAATATCTGTTGGATCTATGACAATGCTTGAAACATTCTCAAATCGATCAGCAAAGGTTCCAGCGTCGGAATTTCTCTGAGGGTTATAGACGGAGGAGAAATAGACAGCAAAAAGATTAGCTATGTCAACACCGTTGGACGCCTTTTCTGAGGCAAGAAACATTTCGTTAGGAATAGTACCCTGATTAGATTGGGAGTGAATAAAGTTCCAAAAAATTTTCATATTGGTGCCTATGGCTCTTTCAGTATCACTTATGTATAATTTATAGCACTCTTTGGTGAGGTTTTTACAATCTCGCCGAAGTGTACTAAATGCAAAGTAATCCAAACCTCTATTCGACCGCTTGAATCGTCTGTGAGCAATTTTCTTTTGAAAAATCAGACTTTTCAATTCGTTAGAGAACCAGATAGGAAATTTCTCGCTGTAAGAATGTGCCTTTATTGGAACAAACATATTAAAGCAGTCGAACAGTACCAAGTAAAAGCTCTTAACAGTTTCGTTTAGATTGTCCATCATAATGGATCGCCAATCAAAGGAAAGAAAATATTCATTAACCAAATCAAAATTGGCATTTTTAAAGTCATAAGAAAAATAATTAAGAGGCTTCAGAAATTTAGCTTTAACAACAGGTATGGAAAACTCTAGAGCTGGGTGATAACGATCACATCCCACCAGACCGTCAGATGTTACAAGTGAAATAGGCCCAAAGTTGGCAAAACATAGATCCAGGATTGAACCATGATCGTTAGCCACCCCATTGTATTGAGACAGATTAAGAGAAGCAGTACTATCGCATAACAATATTTCCTTAGTTGTCCTTACATTTCCAGGTAATAAACCCGAGAGATCCTCACTAGTGGACCACGTTATTTGGGAAAGATTATAATCTCCAAGAACAAGCACATTATCAAACATTTCACAGGCACTAGCAACTGATTTCAAATGGTTTTCATAATGGAGCACATCCATGGTAGGTGGAATGTAGACACAGCCAATACAGAAGACCATGTCACCCAGCGTAACAGACACCCACGTTTCCTCGACCGATGCTTCACCAATTGACAGGCGATGAGATTTTAGGCAATTATTTACTGCCAAAAGGACCCCACCTCCACGGCTTTTAGTACTGTTCAGACTGCTTCTATCAGAGCGATAAACCGTGTAACGCGAGTCAAGAAATTCGGCATCACAGATACTACAGTCTAGCCAGGTTTCAGTAAGTGCAATAACTGAGAAAGACTCGGCGCGAGCCGCACAGAAAGCATCTTTGAGTTTGGTTTTTAAGCCTCTTACATTTTGGTAGAGAAAGGAAGCACAATCTAACGAGACTGGTCCTCTCTGTCTCCTCTCTGAAAATTTGCATTGGACGGTTTTGCCCCCATACGACGAGGATGAAACTCCTTGACAGCAATGCCTACTGGCCAGAGGTTAGGATCCAGCAGGCCCTTCAAAAGTGATTCTTTAACCCCAATTTTAAATGAAACCACATCTTCATTTTTGTCCAACACCAAGCATTTGACATCAGGAATGGAGAGCTGATTCTTCAAATAGTTAGAGCAAGTTATGTATACATACACTGTGCAATTTATAGTTGTATATGAATATTTTATTATGTAGGTACTCTATGTTTTGTAAATTAGCCGTACATGCTAAATAAAGACCTAATAATAAAATCTCGGTTAAAATGCTACAATCAATTACACATTACATAATATTATTATAATTATACCCCTATGGGTGAATAAGCATTGGGTTGCTTGCGTAAGAGAGCAAAATCTCCATCGATGTGTGAAGAAAGGACATAACAAGAGAGTTGTTGAAAAATATCTTGAAAGATAACTTGATTTAATTTGTTTTCAGGCCATTGGAAATTGTTGAGGCAAACATATCGCGTCTTACTAGAAATAACAATTTCATGTTGCCGTATCCTGAATCGTGCCAGACTAAGAAAAATCAACACGAACCCTGTCCTGATTGTTTGATTACCTATTGCTCAGAGAGTTGTCTAAAAACTGCATATCAAGAGTATCACAAAACACTTTGTCCTGGGTATGGTGATACGAAACATGATCCCATGTCAGTTTTAGAAAACGCATGGAGGTAAGAAAAATTCAAATTTTTTAAGAAAAGAAAATTGATTCATTATTTTTTTTTACAGAAAAATACATTATCCTCCAGAAACTACTACAATATTCTTGCTCGTGAGATTATTAGCGAGGATTATTCAGGCACCAGATAAACAAGAGATGGTGCAAAAAATTTTAAATTTTTCTCACAAAAGCGTTAACGAACATGAAAAATTATCCCACAAATTTTTAGGTGATCAGTTTAAAGATCAACTGATTGAATTAAGGTCAATGGTTTCTAGAGTAATTTATCCAGACCAAAGCCCAGAGGTGCACCAGTTTTTAACATCCGAAGGATTCCAGTCTCTAATTGCTTTGATTGGTATGTAAACATTAGATTATTACCCTTGAAAAACTACAGCCATAAACTTTTTCAAACAAAACTATCCTTTGTGCATGAGAACGTGTGCTCCAACACGTCAAAAACCGTCCCATGACTGGATGGAAAACCAATCTGTGTATATGTATGAATTTGGGATTTCCGCTCAACTTTTTGGTTTTGCACAGAATTGTGATGGTTTGGATAGCTACCTTTTGTGTGGAAACAAAACTAAAAATTCTTTTAAGAATGTTTTCAGCATATGCTCAATGGCAATGCTTTTTGCTAGATGATAGTATAATAAAGAGGCTATAATAATAAGTTGCGAATCAGTTGCTCGCAGAACATAGTTGCGAAAACCCACTATGATTATGTCTTGTGTAAAGCCTACCTTGTTACCTTATCGATTCAGTTTCCCTTTCAAAATTACACAAAACGGCTTCATGGTCTGACAGGCCCACGTTAAGCACAGAATAAAAAAAAATTATTTATTTAAGTAAGTGTACAACTACAGAGCAAAAATATCTAAATGGTACACATTTGCAGAACTTAAAACTAAAACCAAAAACAAACTACAATAATAAAGACAAGAAAAAGTTAGTAAGGTATAGCTTTTTTAACTGAACTCAGATTAGTGTTGAAGAGGTCCAAATGAAAGAAATGACTATTATAGTTCGTGGCAAGTCTAGTCATTAGACAGTTTTGGCCATAATTTGTTCTGTGGGCTGGTTGGAAAAATAGTTGCCTTTGTCTAGTTCTTCTGCCAGGGACGAGGAAATGGATATCTTGTAAAAGTTCAGGTGAACAAGTAATACCACATATCAACTTATACAAGAAGATCAATTGTGCATTCCGACATCTATTTTCCAGGCTAGTTAAGCCACACAACAGCAGACGAGTGTTGTAGTCCACATCCTGATGAGGAAATCTTAGTTTATATAACAAGTATTTACCAAATTTATTCTGAACTCTTTCGATCCTCTGAATGTGAAAATTCACCTATTCTATTTGAAGAAAACACAGTCAATTAAAGTTCCTCCACATGCATGGTTATGCCAAGAGAGTCAAACAATTAACAAATTAGATACCATTGGCAAATGAATTTGTGTTACTGGGTTCCAAGATTTTTTATTTCTGATTTCACTGTGTGATTAAGAAAATTATTAAGCAACTAATAATAACAATTTTCTAGGAACAAATGCTCAAGGTGTGGCAACTAGTGCATTTAGTGCTTGGCGAAGGAACGTTGAAACATTGCGTTTGCGAAAAAAAGACCAAGAAGAAGTTGATGAGTTAGTCGAAGAAATATATGAGGACATGGAAAGATGTACAGGAGGGGAGTTTTTGGATAATGAAGGAGTGGGTTTATATGTCAAACAAAGTAGTGTTAATCATAGTTGTGATCCGAATGCTATCGTTAAATTTTGGAATAATAATTTCAGGTAAGAATAACTGGTTTACTATGAATATAACAGTTGTTTACTGACATCAGGATTTCCGATTTCATGGAAAAGTTGACCTTTCTAATTTGGAAAACATTTTAGATTATCTCTTGTGTCCAAGAAGAACATAGAGCCAGGTGAAGAAATTTGCATCAGCTATCTGGATGAGTGCGAACTGCATAGGTCAAGACATTCCAGACAAAAATATTTGAAAGAGAATTACCTTTTCACTTGTCTTTGTCCTAAGTGTATCTCAGAAGGTGACGATCCAGATGTTACAAGTGAAGAAGAGGCGTCTGAAGATGAAAATGATGAGTAAACAACACAAATGAAATTAAAAAAATACAAAAAAACATATTCAAATTAATTTGCTTTTTATAATGAATTTATATTTTCTCTTTTGATTATGATTATTGGTAAAATAAATGTTTTTTCACTTATTGACAATCATTTTATTTATGTACACAAAATACAAAGGTTACATATAATTAAGTACAACTTGTGCTAGATGGTACCAAGTTAATCAATTGATTACTACTCTCAGCTAATTCAGTTATTGAAACTCTGCCTCTTTGCCTAATGAACTTTGCTACAGCTTCCATTTCACTAGGAGATACAAAAATAAACTTTCCTCTGTCGTCTATGACTCCACTCAATATGTCATCTTTTTGGAGGTCTTTAATTCTGTCTATACATGCTTGAGTTTTAAGTTTGAAATGTGCTGCCAGATCTTCAATGATAACTACTTTGTTTTGTTTGATGTAGTTAACAAATTCTTGGAGTAGGTTTTGTGACTCCCCTTCTTCACCTTCTTCATAACCCTCTTCTTCAACTGAAAAAGCTTCCTTCATTTGCAAGTATTCTTCAAGTTCCTTACGTTCTTTTTCTTCTTTGATTTTCCTCTCAGCTTCTTCCCTTTCCTTTTCTTTAGCATCCTCTTGTTCTTTTTGTTTTAGTCTTTCTGCTTCTTCTAGTTCAGTTTTCTTCTTCCTGTGAAAGATTCAAGTTTTATAAATGTATATTCAAATTTTTCAAAAGTACTGCGTATCAACTTTAAAGCTCTACCATCCTTGCATAATAGGTATTTATTTCTTGACCAATTTTGATAAACTTTTTTGTTTATTATAAACCCATTCAAAAAGATCTTTAGTAACTGGACGTGTTTGGTAATTTTCATTCAATCATCCTGATGGTCAAAAAAAAAACACCCTGATAAAAACTGAACTGATAGTACTGATATGTTCTACAGTGTCTGAAAGTTACTGAAATCACTGAAATCACTGAATTTGATATTTTTGTGACTAAATGTGCTAATTTGAAGTTTAGTCAATAGCCAAAATTGTGAAACCCATTGTACTGCATGATACTGTTGGAAAAAAAATTGCACTTTTTGTAGGAGTTCTGTACAAGGTTGGAGATCTGCTTACTGAAAAATTGCAAAATCGGCTGTATTATGCACAGGTTTATAACCACTAGCATTATCCAGTAACAGTTTGAGGCACGGCAACTGATTACATTTGAAATCCCTTGAGAACTCCCCAAAATAAAGCTATCAAAAATGTTTTTAAGCTTCCCCTGTGGTAACATACTACGAAAGTGTATAAGGGCCACAGTATCTGTGAGTTTGGGAGGGTGGTATGCCACATTAGGCCGATTGTGCGCCTCCGCAAGAGAGGTCATCCTAATCTTGTCATATAGCCTGACTTAACAATGTAGGCATGACGTCGCTAAGGTCAGTGCCTCTAATCTCTTCTAGGGTTGGGTACAATTGGCCTAATCTGGCTCTGGGAAGTAGCAAAAGAGCAGTGCAGTCACACTTCTTGATTACAAGCCCCACACAATGGTATGGTGCTAAGATGCAACCTAAACTAATGTTTGTTTAGCTGACAGTGGTCATGCAAGATGCCCGTTATTAAAGCAGATAGCCTTTTCCTGGTCAGCAACAGTTTCCAAACTTTTTGATCAAGATATTTTTTTACTGAAGTGCTAAATCCTCACACACTGTACAAGTACCTTTCAGCTCTTATGTGTTCTTCAGCTTCTCTAGCGGCTTTTTTCTCAGCCTTGGCTTCAAGTTTTGCCATCTTTTTGGCCCCAACTTTTCCATCTGGCAATTTGATATCATGTCTTTCTTGAGCTTCTTCTACCTCTGAATCGTTGTCATCTTGATTTTGAACTAAAATTAACACAAAAAGAAATACCTAAGTAAAGTGAATGATGATTGCTGAATCATTTGAGGAGATGCCAGTTAAGTACCAAAAAACCTCTTACCATTAGCTCTCAAACGAGCCCCTCTATTTCTAGCAACTTGTGCTCTCCTTGGAGCGCCTTCTCTGGGCCGATTAGGGAGGGGCCTGGGTCGCTCAGATTTTTCTGAAATAAGCAATAAGTTATTGCAAAAAATAATCCATAGGCTTAAAATAATTAAAAGTTCACCTTGAGACTTTGATTTGAGGTAAAAAGTTAAACTTATTATTATAATGAACACGGCTGATGCGATGGCTAGAAGCAGCGGAATATCCATGGTTTATTTCTTGTAAAATTTTAAAAAATTATAAGAACATTTGTTATCACAATCTGCACATATGTTTTTTGTTTTGTAATTTGTGCAATCCACATCAATTATCAATTCGAATAAATTCCCATAAGGGCCAAATTATGGACTGACTGGTAAACGTCTGGTTGTTACCTAGCAGGTACTTTCTATGCACTAGAGAATAGAAAGTACCTGCTAGGTAACTACCAGACACTTACCAGTTGGTCCATAATTTGGCCCTAATATAAATGGAGTAGAAAATTCGACTAGCACTGCACTAGGCGCACTAGGAAGTTCACATTTTTCAGTCAGTGCAGTTCGGTTCAATATCTCACTCGATTCATGTTCGGGTTGATTCTGGATTCACCAGCGAGCAAAATTTCCTGTACTCAACCAAGGATAATACACACTTCTACTACTACAGGATAGCCTATCCTCATAAGGCCTGTGTGGAACAAATCTGGAGCCCCTCACCATGCCAAATCACCAGTTGTGACGTAAACAGTATGTCGTTTCTCGCCGTAGGCTGTTTGCATTACAGGTTAAGGTTCCGCGGGCTTTTGCTTTATGCATTGCCGTTGGTTTTACTGCATTAATTAACTCTATAACAACTCTTTTTAGCATTTTCATCTTCCTCTTTGCCTATTATGTTAATCAAAATTAAGTAATTGACGTGTCTCGCAGAAATAGAAAAAGAGAGCTCAATTGTAATAAATACAAGTTAGAAAGTAATAAAAAAATGACATGCGCGCGCAACTCGTGGCTGCAGTGTAGCCGGATTGTATTGTTGCAGAACAAATGTAGACAATAATACAAATCGAACATTATAACATTAAAGACGTGATATATTGTCAAGTGTTTTACAACGCCTTAAATCAGACAAAGAAGAGCTTTAAAGTGTATGTTAACATCGATGGCACTTTTATTTTGATAAATGTTTCATCCAACAATATCGCACAATGAAATTGCAAAGGAATACGTCAAGTATAATCTTACATAATCTTAAACGATACTGCGATATGTTCAAGTAATACGTAAAGTATTAGTGTGCTCCTTATCGAATTACACGTTACAAAGAAAGAAGGAGCGATTAATTCTGAACTCGTCCCTGAATACGAATATGACGCAAGCCCGTAACAAATTCAATTTTTATTGGACGCTCACCTGCAACCGTGCAACCGACAATCCACGAGTTGCGGGCGCGCACCAGTTTATTACGAGACACGTCAATTGTCTTCATTTGAAATTCTAAACTAAGACCGCTAGTGCAAACAGCTGACGACTTAGTTATGACGTCGGAAATGGTGACACACCAATATGGCGGCGATTACCAAAAACGAGGCCGAAAAGCAATTATCCTTAGGGCGGGTATTATAAAACTGCTTTGACAGTTAACTTGAAGTTAACTTTTTGAATAACATGTAATTCAAAAAGTTAACTTCAAGTTAACTGTCAAAGCAGTTTTATAATACCCGCCCTTAGTAGTGTATATAATCCATGGTACTCAACTGATCCGAGATCCGAGTGCGGACAGAGCAATGATTTCATTGAATGATTTACATTCGTGCTGTTGTCATCAGTGCCATCTTTACGCATAGCAGGGGCCAGGGCCGTAGCTTGAGTCAAATTTGTGATAGGGCATGATAAATTTGACATAGGGCATACACTACTTGCCCCCCCCCCCTTAATTTTTGAAGTGAATACTTCTGTGGCCGCATGAGAGTGATCTTTCAAGGTCGCGTCACGACACGATTTATAAAATTTTCGTCTCGCTAGTGAGATGAAGCATATGATGAATATGAGGGAGAGAGAGAGAGAAAGAGATGGTGAATGAAAGAGAGTATTGTTCTTAACGCATTAATGTAATATCTCTCTCTCTCTCTCACACTCACTCACTCGCCCTCAACGAATCGATAAATAAGTATTCACTTCTATCACGCACGTGTACTGTGCTGCACGCGACTTTTTTTTTAAAAAATGGGGGTAATGGTGCTTAAGGCAAAATTTTCGATCTCTGGAAAGTAAACAAAATGGTGTGCACTGGCAATTTTTTCTGAGGGTCCTCTTATACTTGTAAAAAATAACTGTACCTACCAACTTACTCGATTTCAGGCCTATTCTTTATCTACTCTTAAATTTCCTAGGGAAACCTTAACGCATGTTGTGTTTTGAAGGTAGGGCATCATCATTTGACAGATAGGGGCATTGGGGGGCACCAATGCCCCCCCCTGGCTATGGCCCTGCCCAGGGCCTCCTGTTATAGGGGGCTCCGTCGTTAATGTTTACAAAAAAGTATTCAAATAAATGATAATATCAATAATTTCAAATGAAATATTATTCAAATAATAATTATTTAAATAAAAACTACGCCCTAGGGGCGAGAACCCACGGGCGTAATTGACGTAAGCGTAACATGAGCGTAACTAATCATGTGATTTAATTTGTACGATTTAGGGCGGGTATTATAAAACTACTTTGAGAGTTAACTTAAAGTTAACTTCTGGAATTACATGTAATTCAAAAAGTTAACTTCAAGGTAACTGTCAAAGCAGTTTTATAATACCCGCCCTAAGGGGTTAACTTAAAGTTAACTTCTGGAATTACATGTAATTCAAAAAGTTAACTTCAAGTCATATTGTCAATAAAAATTAATTCGGTTTGCGTTTCCGGTTTTTTTCCCAAGATTTCTCTTCTACTTGTATTTCAGGTCCAGCGCACTCTGCGTATGACGTCACGATACCCCTGCTCATGCCGTTCCGCTCCGTGGAGTGCAAAGCCGAACTCAGCCTTTGAAACGTTTTAAAACGCTACATTTTGGTGTTGCAACGGTGACGTCATATACGGAAACAGTTCAACTACTTCGAACCGCTCTTTCAACCTGGTTCAAAATAGACGGTAAACAACTGGAACTCAAAATACCATTGGTGTAGTACTAAACAATTAGATGCCACGTGCACCGTTTTAAAACGGGACATTTTTGATCACCACCGATATGATGTAGCAATCGAACCAGTTTTGAAACGTTATAAAACACGGTTTAACAGAAAAAGGTGTCATTAGCACGGGTCCAAGTACCCGAATCTTCTACTCCCATATGCAATGTTCGGAGTACAGTAATAATTGGCGGTGCAAGTGCACTTTAATCGACACTTTATCAAAACCTTGGGTCGGGACGAAACCTCCATTGGTGTTCATTTGTACTTGCTCTTCCTGCTCGAAAAATCAGAAAGATCTGCTAGGATAGGAGGAGCGGATATTTATGAGCTGATACATATGGGACAAGTGAACGCCGATCTGCGTGAAGCAAGAAAAGCAATACGAATGAACACCCTATAAGAAACTGTCGAAAGCGAGTGCAGAGTACTTAACGTCAAGCACAAGTATAGAACAGGAGTGCATTCGAAATCGCCTTAGGAGTGACACCGAGTGCACACCAGCCATGAATTAGGCAATTCAAACCACGTGACATTCAAGATGGCGTGGCGGCCACACATGGGCCAAAAAACACAAAAAAATATCTAGTTTCTGCCGGAATTGATAGTTCAGGTACCTAGTCAACAAATATTTTATTAAATAATGAAAATCAAAGTTGTAAGCAAAACTGTATGCAAAATAATTTAAAATACGCATAAAAACATATTCGAAACAAACTTGCTTGGCCGCCACGTCACATTGAATTTTCCGTTTTGACAGATGGATTGAATTGCCTAATTATTCATAGCTGGAGTGCGTTTAGAAATGGAGTGTGAGGGTAGAGTAGTTGTTTGTCAGAGTGTTCTGACGTCATCACTTGGAGTGCACTGTGGGTGCGCTATTTCTGAACGTATTGGGGCGTTGTGGTAGATGTCAACGTCAAGCTCGGTAAAAACCACAGGGCTGCGTTCAGGAATGGCTACAGCTAAGCCAAAATTGGCATTTTGCGTTCGAGTTTGGCTCCAACCTACGTGGTTCGGCATTACCGGTGGAGGGGGAAAAGTAGGTTTTGGCATTAGCATTGCCATCTTTGAACGCACTCCTGGGGCGTTTTTCTACCCAGTCCCAGGGCCGAGTTCAGAAATAACGCACAGGGTGTGAGTGCGATTTTATGGGTGTGCCTGAATTGACAATTGGCCATTGGGCCCATAGCACCGTCTAGTATTTTTGAACAGCTAGGGCGTCGCACCGGTATCACACTCACACTGGGTGTGTCATGAACTCGCCCCTGAGTGGGGTAATTTGGGCGTACTCTGGGGCCTTATTCTGTAAGGAACGGACCGTTCGATTCGGTAGAATTTCTTCGATTGTGACGTCATTTTCGGTTTGGTAGCGCGAAAACCAAACCGAAAATGACGTCACAATCGAAGAAATTCTACCGAATCGAAAGGTTCGTTCCTTACAGAATAAGGCCCCTGGGCGCGTCAACTCTCGATTTCTGAACGATTCCAGCGTAACGCTCCGAGTAAGCACCTGGTAATTTATGAACGGTTTAGAGTTACTCTAGGGTCACTCTTACACCCAGAGTGCTATTTCTAAACGTAACCTGGTGTGTACTCAGTCTGACGCCCAGGGTGATTTCGAACGCACTCCAGGAACAGACAAGTGACTAGTGACAGTACCGTAGATCTTCGAACGATCTCAATCTTCATCATATGCATGTTTTTAATAGATTATAATCGGTGGATTATTTCCATTCAAATGCGACTGTAAATAATTAAATATTCCAATATTGTTGTTGGGCCATTTGGTGGACATATAAATCTGTTTTTTAGATACAATTCCATGCAATGGACGCGACAGTTGACGATTTTTTCAATGAAATAAATCAAATATCTACCAAGAATGATCCAAAGGAGCAGTTAGAAGAAGGTAAAAAAAAAATATATCTGCATAGGTATACCTACTTCACAAGTTTCTATAAGTGTCCCACTACACACTAAACACAACACTTGTATTATCATTTGCTTGAACCATTTTTATTTTTCATTAGTATGGCAAGAATGTTTTGACGAACTCACTGGTTACTCATATTTCTGGAACACTGAAACCGATCAGGTAACATGGGTACCACCGAAATCATATAAACCAGCAGACGATTCAAATAAAAAGAATATTCCTCCTAAACCTGATAACACAGAGAAGGGTAAGAAACTTTTTGTGCCTCCTGTCTCTGCATCAGCACATCAGAACACATCCACAAGTGTTAAACCTGAAGCTAAATCAAAAGTGTATTCAATTCAAGAAGTAGTAAAACATCCGCCAGAAAAAAAACCTAAAGTCAAGTCAACTGCAGTTACTAGCATCACTAAACCTATCAGTCGTAAACAATATTCTGGAAGGAAGCTTCCATTCAAGAGACCTGAAGATTCTGATGAGGACGAGTAAGTTAAATGCATTATTTTTCTATTTCAAAATTCAACTTTTTTATTTTCAGAAAAATTGAACTCATAACTGAATATGGAGGAGATAGTGATTCTAATGAAGATTCTAAAATAATCCAGACAAATTTATCAAAACAAGAAGCAAAACCTATAGAATCCCAAAAGAAAGGATCATTGGTGGGCCAAACATCTTCCCAAAATACTATAGATACTTCTAATAAAGTTCTTCCCTTGGTTCATCCAGTAAGTAGTCAGTATATCAAAATGTTTAACTAAAAGATAAATTAACTATTTGTGGGATTCCTAATGATGAGAAATTATCCTGAAATTGCTACACAAAGCAGCAATTTATGATACATAAGTTTTCAACCTGAAGGAAACCTATTTCTGCTAGTGATGATTTAAATTGCTAGAGTTCTTCCAGTATTGATGAGGATTCAAATTCTCTCCTTATTGGAGAAGAATTCGCAATTTCTGAAGCACAATATATTCAATATTCAATAATAGTATGCTCAATTGAATGCCTTAAAAGTATACTAAAAATACATTTCATATTTGCATACGAACAACTCTTGATTGTTTTTTGCTAATTAATAACTGTTTCAGTCCAAAGAAGAAATAATCCAATCAGATGAGGAAGATGATGACAATGAAATTGATCTTTTGGCAAAAATACAGCAAAGAGCTCAAGAACTTAAAAGATTAGGTGGAAAAGTTCCTATTGAAGTCAAAAAAATTATAGAAACAACAGATTTGAAGAAAAAAGATGAGAAATCTAAACCTATATCTGCGTTTTCTTTGGTGGCTGGTAAGAATTTAATATAGAAATTGGGAATTGGATAGCTCTCTATGAAAAATTGAGATATATCGCAGTATATGTAAGAGTCAGATCTACCATTTTATTATTTTTATTTATTCATTAAATCCTTCTTAGCTTCGTTGGACAGAGAACGCTTGTTGCTGGTCCCTGTTTAGGTCGCTGTATTTGAAAAAGTTAATGAAAATTACCAAAATGTATCCCTTTTGTAACATAACTTTTTGTGCTTTCTGTTATCAAATTGCATCCATGGCATGAGATCGGCTTTTTTGATGCAATAATAGTTATTTTCTCCATTGACAAGGTTCCTAAAGTAAATAGGTTGCCTGGTAACAGGTAACTTGAATAAGATTATGTTAAGTGCAATATACAGGAATCTACTGCAAATGCACCAACTGTCAACACTGAAAAAACATTATATAACTGCAGTAGGCTTATCGGTTTATATCTCTTTATACATATACATATAATAATATTAATAATAATAACAATAATAAGCTAACAACCATCCAACTAGAAGAGATTTAAACCAAAGTAAAAGATGTAATTCGAGCCTGAAGACGAAGAGAAAATTTAGAGAAAGAAAACAACAACAATCAGATATCAGAAGACCAACTGGAGAACACTAACCGTCCACTTGCTCATGAAAAAGACCAACCAGCAGTACTAGCAAAAAGTTATGGAAAACCCTTGGGAAAACCTGACAACACAAATCCAACCACAAATCAAGACATGTCCACAACTATTAATCACCCAAATAAATCGGGAAGAAAAAAATGGACTTTAGAACATTATCTAAAAATCATTAGTGTCACTTCTATATTCTTGAAACTACTGGAACAGCTAACGTGAAGGAGGCTCACAAAATATGGCAAACACATACTTAATCCACCCCTTTTACATTCGCCACAATAAGAGACAAGTATGTTATTGCCAAGAAAAAATATTACAGAGGAAAACTTAGAACAGTGAGAATTCACTAAAAAAATTGTTAAAAGAACTCAGGAAGACAGCAGTACAGCCCAAAGTATACAAAGAGTGCTGTTGAAGAAATTGAATGATAATGAAAATACAAAATTCCGGAGAGGTAATGAATCAATAAAAGAAATTCTACAAGAACAACCTGAACAATTTAAATTCCTAAAAAACATCAACAAACTAATTTATGCAGTAGCAGAAACAATACAAAATAGAATGATCCTAACACCCAGGTTAAAACAAATACAGAAGAGAAACAAAAAAAGGAGACCCACTATGGAAAAGGGGTTAAACCAGAAAATAGCAAACTATAGGAAAGAACTATCACACACACTAAAGATCGTGCAACAATCATAGAAAAACTCAAACAACAGATTTCAGCAAGAATGTGTAGAACAAGCTGTTCTCTGAAAATACAGCCAAGTTATACATCACAGTACTCAAGAAAAAGATAGAAGCATCTAAAATTTCCACAAGAGAAAACATCGAGAAATACTGGAAAAACATATGGGAAAAGGAGTCGAGGCATAACAGCAAAGCAATATGGATAAAAAATGAATATGACAGAACCACAAATTTGAAAAAAATGGAATGGGAGGACATAACTGAAGCCGAAATCAGAACAGCGATAAACACCTCCGCTAATTGGAACTCCCCTGGAGTACATTGGATACCAAATTTTTGGCTGAAAAAACTTACAGCTAAGCTACACATGGAAACATAGTGACAGCCTACAACAGCATAAAATCAATCAATCAAATAAGCTTTATTGTCAAAAAAACAAATAATGTCATAGACAAAGCAGGCCTTAAACCTAATAAAACAATTAAAATTATCTATTATCTATCTATCATAAAAAGGATAAAAATTTCAAAAAATGATCCACAACAATCGAAACCAACACAAAGAATTGTAAAAACTGAGGCAAAAACAAACAAAAAATAAAAATAAAACTTAGAAGTAGTCACGGACGTCAACTACCTATCACTCACATAATTATGTCACACAAATTAAATTAAAATGACGGTAAAAAAATATATATATATACATTATACGTGCGCTACAGGAATAAAACAATAAGCACAAATTACAAAAGTCAAATCATGAAAATAAAAATAAAAATAATAATAATAATGATATTGGCAGAGCCAATCAATTGATACAGTCAAAATCTATCATTCCAAAACTCAGTACAGTTATAATAAGCCCTCTCAATTAGTAACCTTTTCACCATCCCTTTAAATATTTTGTTGCTTTCCACTTGTCTTATTTCCACAGGTAAGTGATTAAATAATTTCCGACTATCAAAGAAGAGAAAACTATACCTGATTCCTGATTGGTTCACAAAAGAAAAGACACATCTAATACCAAAGAATGAAAAGAGTGAAGAACCGAAAAACTATAGACCCATCACCTGTTTATACAACTTATTCAAAACCCTGACAAAATTAATATCAGTGAGATTACATGTACATCTATCTCGAAACAATCTATTCTCTCCAGAACAAAAAAGATGTATTAAAAACTCATACGGCTGCAAAGACCATTTACTAATAAGCCAAGAAATTTATACAGACTGCAAAAAAAGTGGCAAAAATCTCACTGGCCTGGATAGACTAATAAAAAAGCCTTTGATAGTATTCCACACAGCTGGCTAATTGAAACACTTAACATATACCGTACATCACCGATGTTGCTCAATTTCTTATGCAAAAGCATGACCATGTGGATTTAAACCTAACAACAGACAGGGAAACCATCACAGTGAAGAATATAAAGATAAGAAGCGGGATCCACCAAGGTGCCTCCCTGTCTCCATTACTTTTTTGTATTGCACTGTTTCTTTTGAGCGCAATCTTAAACAACACAGATACAAGCTACCAATGTAGAAACGAAAAGCAGAAAATGACCTTTCTGTATGTTGATGACTTAAAGTTGGTTGCAAAAAATGAAGAGGAACTAATCAAGCAATTCGATTTAGTAAAAAGATTCAGTGACGACATTCAAATAGAGTTTGGCCTTGAAAAGTGCGGCACCTTTGAAAAAGGCAAACTGCAGTCAAAGGAAAACATTACACTCTATGATTCAACCCAAGAATGATACTGCTACAGGATGGCCTATCCTCATAAGGCCTGTGTGGAAACGTCTGAAATACATAGTTTATTTATTTATCAGTAGTATAACAAAAATATACATAATACTATTATATATTCACAATAAATAATAAATACGAAGATCTGAACATTGAAACTCAAGGAATCTGGAATCTCAATACTAAAGTCATCTGCATTGTCATCAGTGCTATTATGACTAGTATCCAACTATACATGCGAAATCATCAAAGAAGTTACTGGCAACCACAACATTCTAAGCATGCACAGAGCATTAGCGCTGAACACCGCTCACATAGTTCGAAAAGTTATCTAGCAAGACCTGCCATCATCTCAAAAGAGACCCCCTAAGTACATGGTGTGTGGCCGGTGTCCCAGATAACATATCACAGAACCTGGCAGCTGTGTAATGAAAAAAAAAAGTAAAACAATAATAATAATATAAAGACGGATATCAGAAACTCTTTCTGCACATTTCAACTGTCACCATAACACCACACACAATTTACTCCAGAGCAACCATATATAGACACTTGGATAGGCTCAAAATTTTTCTGACTCATCCTGAGCTATCCATGACCTGTTAAAAAATCTAATATATTATGTGGCCTTTATTAAATTTATTTAAATTATAGGCTACAACAGTGGTTCATCTGAAGATGAATATGAACCTCAAGGCATAATACCAAAACTACCAATATTCCCAGTGGCACCAATACCAGAAACAGGACACAGTACGTTATTTCCTGCCACAAAACCGATAGATGTTAAAGATTTTATTGTACCAGAAGCATCAATGACAAGTGAAACTGCAACAATTGATAGTAATGAAAATGGGGCACCGAGGAGTGATTTTGACAGTAAGGCTTTTCAAAGAAAAAAAAGAATAGGTGTGTCTTTGGTAAATAATGTCAAAAGGCCCAAAGGAGATATAGACGATACTCCAAAGACAGAGTTTGCAGGGTTTGGATTTAAGTCCGAAAATAGTAAAAATGGTGATTCAGAACCGGAAGCAAGTAATGCCTATCCGGGTTTTCAAAAGGGTGGCCTTTTGTTTGTGAAATCAGATGTTTTGCAACCTGCCACTGAAGAAAAACATAATAATCTGAAAGAAGACAGAGAAGAGATTAAAATAAATAAAAAAGAAACTGAAGATGACTATAAAATTCTCCAAGAAAAATTACTATTTCTAGGAGAGGGACGACAACCTGTTTTACCTGTACAAGCTATGCTTATTCAGGCAGAGGTGAGAAAAATAAATTATAAACAAATATTTATTGCCTAATATCGAATTTTTAGACGTTGTTTCTTGCTATGAAAGAAGGCGGACTGAAACTTTCCTACCTATTCAAATGGCTGAAAGAGATGTGCTCGGAACTGATTAACCTTGAAAAAGAAGCGGCTCCAGAAGGGTGGCTTTTACAATGGGATAGGTACGAACTCTTTAATTTAATGTTAATGGCATTCCTTTAAAAAAAAATACCCCAACCCGTTCCTTTGGAGTCCTCCATTTGTCCTGTGTACTTTTGTTCTTAAAAAATGACTCTGAAGTGAAGTTGAATGGGACTCTTGACTGCTGGAAAAAAGGGGACTAATGCGGCTGTGAAGGTGAGCATATTTTTGTACTATTTTTTTTACTGAATTCTAGTTTTTGTTGTTTCTATATTTGGTTTTGAGAGAACCATAAACCTGTTCTGGTAACTTCAATTTTTGTTATAAATAGTTTTGTACTGTAAAATGAACAATTTGCTTTTTTACAGATTTTCCTACAATAATTGTCTCTGGTAGATAAATTTCAAACAGATTCTGGTTTTATGTCAATTATTTTGTTACATATTGTGAATCACCTCTTTGAAATGAAACATAAAACAGCACATTATCCATTTTACAGCATTTATAAATATGTTATCATTTTTTTATGGGTTGTGTTTTTAGATTTACATTTAAAAGATTCAATTACTATAAGAAGACATACTATAATGTTCTATTAATGATTTATCGAGTTATTTATGCTGTCTACATAGACAGGCAAATATTTCATCATTTCTACTGCCAATAGTAACATAGCGATGTGAAACTAATCAGAGTAACATTACCAAGAATGAGACAATCAATGTTAGGTATAACACTAAGCTAAATTTCCATGCTTCCCTCAAGAACAGATGTAGTGGACAGATTTCTCAAATTGAAGTACAGTTGAGTAAGGCCATATTGCAAGACTGCACGATAATATATGATCAAAGAGAATTGAATGGAGATAACGACAAGAAGTTCACAGAAACAGAGATAGACTGTATATAAGATTTGAACCTGGAATCAGACCTAGAGTGGTTATCTTCTAAACAATTGAGGAGTATTGATTGAAATAAGTTTTTTTGTCACTCCAAAAAAAATAATCATTAATAATTATTATTTTCTCCAAAGCTGTGAATGTTATTGAAAAATATTATCAAAAGATTGGCTTTATTTATTTGAAAACTATTTGACATTACAATATTAATCTTGCAGTCAAAATATAATAAGTAATTATGTCTGCCCAGCGAGTCTGTGTCTACGGGGCAACGGTAAGGGGAATGCAGTTGTAAAAAAAAATGGCTGATTTCATTCATAAAATACCCAGCTGCGTGCGGAATTTTTTGGACGTGTTATCGTATTGCAACTAGTACACGAAAATCAGTAATGACCAAATCTCCGCCACTGGATATGTCAATATAAATTGATATTCCAAGATGGGAGGATAAAATGACGTCAGGCCTGGCCAATAGCGAGACATAGGGTGACGTTGGCTCATTGACAACCGTATGGTTCCTCATGAGAACGGCGATCCTGCCAAAAACTCCACCAATCAGGTTCATTCAGGACGGATGCTTGCCAAATTGTCAAAAGCTGATGGTATCTTTAGAAAATGTTCATTTTGTACAATAGACCAAACTGAAGAAATCAGGATTAAAATAAAGATAGGTCTAACAACCACGTTAAAATATTTAGCGTTTTATTATTGTTATCAATATTTTGTTATCAAAAAATGGATTTTCAAATTAACTATACTCATGCCTAGTATTTTCGCTTTTTTATAATTAAACGTGGCAACATGGCACATTTACGTCCGAATTCCTTCCGTAGACTCAGATCCGCTGGGCAAACAATAGTTATCATGAACGTTATACAGATGAAAGTAACAAATATACAAGACAGAGAATATCGTTGGTAGAATTTCATTCATCACAATCTAATTATACATTCCTCTATTTTTTGTTTTATCAACTTTGTAGACTGCAAAAATTGAATTCTGTCATGAATATAATCAATAATTACAAAATCAAATATAGAAACAATTTGTGTGTATAAGTGGATTATAATTTTTTACTCAAATAAAATACTATTTAAATTTTAAGTTTTGTGATTTATAATTTTCAAACCCTAGAAATCAACTGTTTAAAATTAAGATTAACTGTAGCTAAGCATTTGTCCTAGACCTAGGTATCAAATTTTACTCATATTCGATTGATAAAATGCGGATAAAGTAGGATTGAGCGCGATGTTGTGGTTATTAACATTTGAAGGAGACAAAATATGCAGTTTTATTGTTTATCTTTTCGTGCCCGCTGTACCGTTCTCAACCTCTTTCTTCGTAATTTAATCAGGCTAATGGGTCGATGATTTTTGGCTTGGCATTTGCTCCTGTTTTCGTGAATTGGTGTAACAAACTTCCTGCGGTTCAGTTGCTAGTGGAAAACTAAAGGTGACTGTATATTTCTGGGGAAAGATTGGTGGAATCTCATCCGTACCTGGGATGGAATCAGGTTTTTTTTTATACACTGGACTGGATTCTTTCGGGAAAAATGGTTACATCGGTCAACAACTCCTTGGCGCATCTGCAGTCTGTTAGTAGGCAGAAAAATAGCAAGATCGGCAGTGAAAAAAGACGCTGGAGAAGTAGTCTGCTAAAACCACTGCTGTTCCAAGTAGATGTATTCGCTTAGGGGTGTTGAGGGTAATGGTTGTTGAAAAACAACAAAAAATATACCCCATACTGTTCCTGACACCAATCTACCACACTTAACAGTCTTCACTACATCATTTTCATGCATTGCAAACACCAAACATGTATTCTTGTGGCCTGTGGCTGTAAATGCTACGCATTGGAATGCAATTTTATTAAATGATTTTGAAGGTAGGAAAGATTCAGATCGATATCAAAAAGGGAAAAGTTTCTTGCTAAATTCAGAAGAGCACTCACTTTTCAATTTGTTTGTTCGTTCATACACAAAACTCCCAAACTCGTTGAAAGAAAATATTTCTTGATTTTCAAATTAAGCACACTTGTTTCGTTAAACTGTGTTAGATGATAATCAAATATTTATATTTCTTCATGGCTTAGTTGCTATAAAGGTTTGTAGAAAGTGATTTGATATTCAATAATATTGTAATTTATTTTGACAAATAAGTATGTGTAACATTTTATTGACACTCTTTTAATTTAGGTACATGGTTCAGTGGAAGATTTATTGGACAATGCTACTAGACGAGATTAAAATTAAAATTTGAGAAAAGAAATTTAAAATTTAAAATGTTGATTTTTAATTTCGCTTATTTCTCTTCGTACAGGTAGAGTATAATATATTCGAAAATTGAATATAATAATCTTGTTTAAATAAGGTTACTATTTCTCCTTGATTAGATTATTGTTTTCATAGAATAATACAATTTCAGGAAGACAATGCAAACATTATTTATTAAAGTAAAAATGTATGACTTCATCACTGTGATAAATTCAATACAACAAATGTCAAAAAACAACTAAAAAGAGTTGCTTCAATAAAATAAACGAAAAGTTACAACATTGTTCTTTTACGATCCCTTATCACTAATGTTTTAGATCGCAAAAACGCTACTTCTACCAGAACCAAGCTTCAGGAGTGAGCCAGTGGCACTATCCGGAACCGGATGTAACTAGATGCGATGACGCTATGGATATTTCAACTACCCCACCCCCACCAGATAATATTAAAGCACCCAAACTAGTTGAACCAATAGTATTTGGACCCCAACTACCTGTGGATCCACCTTTACCTCCGTCACCTCCCAATATTAGAAGTCCTACACCTCCACCGCCGCCTATAATTAGTATGAGTATGGATGTTAGTCAAATGCTTCCAGCGATTCCAGGTGAGAATTAAAAAATAAGGTCCGAGCATTTTTAACATTTACTTTTCAGATGTGCCGTTACCCCCTGACCCTCAACCAGTAGTGCCACCGCCTCCACTACCTCCTCTAAAAACCGATCAACCTTTACCTCCTGGTGTTGATTTATTACCAGAAGCTTACAATAAACCTAAAGTAAGTATATTTTTAAAATATAAAAATTTTTCTCTATGGAATTTGTTTCAGGAACCTGCAGTAAAAGCAAATGACACTTTAAATACAGCTCTGGATTCGTTTTACTCAGAAATAGCTGAAGTGGCTGAAAACTCAAATTCACGATCTCCTGCTCGCATATCTGAGACACCAATTGAAAACGCTCAACTAAATGTCTTAACCAATACGGAAGTAGTCAAGAAAAAGAAGAAAAAAGTAAGCATTAAGTATTTGATCTAAAATTGGTTGAGGATATTCTCGGTTGTTAAAAAAATCAAATTAATACCCAAATATCTACACACTACTGATTGTAAATTGCAAATTTAAAACATGGTTCAAAAACACAAATACATTAAGTTTAGTGGTACTTTTGACATGCCTCTGGTAAATGACTTCTATAGTTAGGTTAGCTTTTTTTTCTTTAAACTTTAAATTAGACTGGGTGATTTTGCTGAAATTTCAAGAAATTTTTGATTGTAGTGAGTAATATTTGTTTTAATTAGTCTCTTACATATTGAGTAGATGTTGACCAATCTTTTTTTTTTAATAGGTTAAATTGGCACAAGGACTTACTATGAAGAAAAAAGCTGTATCACAATTGGTAGAAAAATGGAGAAACGTACAAAAGAATTATAGTGATTAAATTGGTTTACATTTTTTTTGTCTTAATATGTACTCTCTTAGCTTCTGTACAGGCATTCTTGAATTTTAGTTTTAACCTTGTTCCTTAATTTATTGTATGGATATTATATGCTACTCTGTAGTATAATTTAATAAACATTTAATAGAAATTGACATCGCTTTTTTTATTTTGATTTCTGGATTCTTTCTCAGGTACATTTTAAACTTTTTACAATAGCATGAGTAGTGATGTGAGTCGAGAATATTCCCATGCGAATATTCGGGAACATTGGGAAATTTCCGAGAATATTCGCTGATAAAAAATGGAAACGTTTCCCTGAATGAGAATATTCCCGGAAACTTTCAATCAAAAATTCTCAAAAGAATATTTCCGAGAACTTTCGAGAATATTTCCGAGAACTTTCCAGAATATTTCCAAGAACTTTCCAGAAGAATTTTATAAAAATGTAAGATTATTGCGAATACAAGGTCTCAGTGACGTCAGTTCAATTTATGTGGATGACGTAGCCCAGTCTAACTGTCTTTACGGAAACGCTGATCCGATTTACCCGATCATCTCATGTTTGCACAAGCCACGGCAAAGCTTCTTAAGTAATATAATTTGAACTTCTTATTTTAAAGCTCATTTATTAAATTTTGTACGTTAGGTACCTCCTGGGTTTTTTTTTACCCGTATTTAGGAAAGGACCACACTCAAATATAACATACATGGCTTATGGGATCATTGAAGGAATCGCAATTAAATGTCGAGATGAATCTTTGCACTCCATCAGAGGCAAAGGTGGGTTTGGGTGGTGGGACCCTCCTTCAGTTCTTCTTCTTCTTACCCGATCATCAGCTGATGTACCTACAGTTTGTCTTTTTTCAAAATAATCTTCAATGAAAAAAGATAAAAAATAAAGAGCTGAGAAATTTGGTTAATCGGATCAGCTTTTCCTTTAAAGCCTTTTTCAACCGTCCATAAAAGTGTTTTTACTACATAGCTTAATTTTTAGCTGATCTTACAGAAAAAAAATAGGTGTTTTTCTTGGTTTATAGTCTATTGTCAGTACACTACAATAATAGGTACTACGATTTGTCTGATTTAGCCATAAATTTTAAAAAAATACAATATTTCCATAAGTTCCCGAAAGTTTCCAATATTCCCGGAAAGTTTCCGAGAATGTTCGCGGCTCTTGAATGTTTCGGGAATTTTACATCACTAAGCATGAGGCATAAAAATCACAAGATCAAAGGAATTACTTAAGTGATGTTCGATTTTGATTATATGAGGCTGTGTCAATAATATGAACAAATCCATGTCTCTAGCTAGAGCTAGATGTCACGAATTTTTAAATATGTCTCACAAACAAGAAACGCTTGTAAAAAAGTTTTTTCCGGGCTATAATGCCGTGGTCCATTAGTATTTCTACCTAACGTTTCGTCTACTGCTGCGGTAGACATCTTCAGAGGCGGCGTGGTAGAGGACGAAGTGTTCTCTTCCGTGTTTCTCCGATGACTGAATTCGACGTTGAGGGAACTGCGTTATTTATATCCAGGGTTGTGGGCGTGGCTTGGATTACGGTATTTTCCTTGTCTCGTTCTCGGAAAGGAAGGGTCTTTGTTGTTCGGAGAACTGGCAGCCAGCTTTTGTTGAGGTTCATGCCCTCTTCTTTTCTGTTGAAGTTGTTGTGGTGTTTCTGTATCTCTATGGCTTCTCTGTGGAGCCTGGTGTAGAAATGTTCGGTTCTATCCAATGCTTGAGTCTGGTCGAAACGAATGACATGGTTTGTTTGTGTAAGTACGTGTTCGGCGATTGCTGATCTATCTATTTGTCCTTGCTGACAGTTTCTTTTGTGCTCTTTGACCCTGCGGTGTTGATAGAGCGTTTGGTTGTTCCTACATAGACAGATCCACAAGAGCAGGGAATTCTATAGACGCCAGCCGATTCAAGAGGTGCCCTAGGATCCTTGGCCGATCTTAGACTTTGCTGAATTGTTCTTGAGGGCTTGTAGATAGGCTTAACGTGTCTTTCTAGCGTTCGTCCTATGCGATCTATGACATTTTTGATATAGGGAAGAAAGGCTCTCCCTGCCACCTGTGCTAGTTCCTTGTTAGTTGTGCGCTGTTGCTTCGGTACCCATTTCCTTCAAGTGCTGATTTTAGGTGTTGCATCTCGTCCTGAAGTTATCTGGGTTCCCGAATCCGGATTGCTCTGCCAGATAGAGTTTTAATGACTCCTCTCTTTTGCCTAGGATGGTGATTAGATTCCTTGTTGAGGTATGTGTCCGTATGCGTCGGCTTCCTATATACCTTAGCTATATACCTACTCTGTGTCCCAGTTTACCTGAGGGTAATCTTTCTAAGAGGACGTCGAGGAATGCAATTTTGTTATCCTTCTCAACTTCCATCGTAAACTGTATCCTGGGTTCTATTGAGTTCAGATGATTAAGGAAGTTTTCGAGCTCTGCCTCTCCATGGTTCCAAACAACAAATGTGTCATCTACATAGCGAAACCAACAAGTAGGTTTTTTTTGTGGCCGTTCGCAGTGCCATTTGTTCGAAGTGTTCCATGGAGAAGTTGGCGATAACCGGGCTGAGTGGACTTCTCATTGCGACTCCATCATCTGTCTGCTCAAAGAATCAATTTTGCCATTGACAGAAAAAAAATAGCATGTTCTATTCAGAGTAAAAATAATACTTACTTTTTGTGCCCCGCCTGTGAGTTTTACAGCTTCACCACATCAAGTTGATTATCATAGAAGCGGTGTCACAGGCTTTGAATACCATGTAAATATATGCTATTAATCTATAGTCAAATCCCAAAATCCGAAAACAAAATAAATAATCAAACACCCTCTTAAGTATAATCCTGTTCTCATATCGCACATTTCCGCAAAAACAAATCACCTTTTACGACTTGAATCTTCTTATAAGAGAATCGAAACTTGCGTATTTCTCCATCCAAAACCAACAAAATGAATAATTCACACAGAAATTAGGCGAGTGTGCGTTAATTCCGCGTTTATCGCGACACGCAAAGCTTTGATGCATAATAGATTAGCCGCCCCCAAAGTAAATCATAAGGAACTACGTAAGTTTTCGTGAAGTTCCGTAAGTGCACTTTGTTATTAACCACATTCCGCCTTGACTATTTCCCTGTTTCGTTTTCGGGATTTGGACCCTTTCGAAACAGCGGAGCGGTTCGGATGTTTCATTTTCCCATTTGCATATGTTTATAAATGTAGAGAAGAGAAATTTCATGTATTTGATGTTTGAAACTCAATTCGATACCGATCTGAAATACGCTAAATAAAAAAGTAGTGTCATTTTCCATTTTTGGACCTAATTTTGGTTAAAATGGTTGGCATATACTTTTAAAATTGGTGAAAAATTGAAAACGGTTGAGTATTGATATGGCTTTAGAGTCGATTTTTACATCAGTAACCGTTATCTGGGGATGAAGGATTATTAATTAGGGCAAACTAAAGACAATTGAATTTAAGTAACATGGTTTATGTATAGGGAATTTGGTGTAACTTTGGCCAGAAACTATCATCCAATATATCGATAATACATATAATATTGGAAGCATTTTAATTATATGGATTTCGTGATAAGATTTAGCAAATCAAATCAGGTCAAATCGAAAACGCTTCAATATCTACTACACCTCTCTGTATAGTTGATTACATCGTTAATAGTGCATTATGTGACATTCTATAAATATAAACGTTCTTCTATCTTGCATGTTCTGTATCCAGAGAAGTGGCGTTTCCAACAGGATAATGCAAGATGCCATGCAGACTCAAGCTTGGATGCCAAGAGCACCAATTGGCAAGCAACAATTCCATGTCCAGAAGTTTCACCAGATCTTAATCCCATTGAAAATATAATATACGGGCTTAGGAAAAATTGAAGTGAAATGAGCAGAGTCACGAAATAAAGGTTTGGTTAGATCAGTTTTACAGACCCTGATCATTTTATAAAATAAATAATTATCCAATTCTACTTTATGATTCATGATAAATTGTTCGTACCACCTAAGAAAATGAAACAATTATTGTTCTCTGGTTCTCCTCATTCATATTTTATTTGGAATGTGTTCAATCAGCATTGCATCATTCGGTATATTTTTTATTCTGATCTCATACAAACCTTCTGTACGTGCCGTCGCTCATAATCCACTAAAAGATCCGCTAATTCGGCTATTTTGTCCACTACGTGATTTCTTTTTCGTGGACCCTCTTCACAATAATAAACTGTAGGGTCCTGAAAATCGCACAACGAATCCTTAATTAATATTTCGTCTAAAATTTAAATTGTCCAGTTTTCCTTTAGGGAATTTTCATAGGGATATATAATTAATTTTTCCGCAGCGACGCGCATCTAAATGAAAAAGCGAAAGTCCCCGTTTTCCCGAAGACCCTTTTTCCTTCGGGATGGTCCTGCGGTTTTAATGCCGTTAACACGCATTTTTAATTTATAAGAAATGGGCTTTAATTGAATGCGGTTTCACATTTTTTTCTTTAGTTTAATTGCGCCCCGAAAAATCTAAATTACTTCTTTTAATGGCCGTCGAGCATTTTTTTTATTGCGAATACGGCCCAGAACTACAATAATTTTTATTAAAGGTTTTTCGCATTTTGGAACTGGGGGGCACTAATTACGGTCGAGGGCTGCTTTTATGGATTTTAAGTCTTAGCACCTCTGTGATAATATAATTAGGCCAGGAGCATGTACCTAATCTGTTTACATCTGGCAAAATTAAAATATTCATTTAAAAATAGGTACCTCAAAAACAGAAACAGCACTTGGCCTGAGGAGCATGTTGAAGTTTGTTTAATACTGTCATGGTTTCCGGGTTCACTGAAAGCCACTTAACAAACAGTAACAACTATTATTAAATAAATTTATTCCCTTCATAAAATTCGAGACATACACAACAAATCTTTTACCTAACCTATACTCAAACAAAAGTAATTTCTTGGAATCCTGGCCGGGTTGTCGATGCATTTTCGTAACACTGCCACTGCCTCAATTCAATTCGTACCGATGTGGGTCTGTGAAAACGCAACACCTTTTCTTCTACGTCTATACCTCCACCCAGATCCATACTGATTTGCCGGACATCTCTATGCCGGTCTAAGTAGACTGCAACCTGAACGCAGCGCCTTAAACCCCTCGGCCTTCCTGACTTTTCAGATCTACCCTCATACCGGAGTGGCTCTTCTTCCCTTGGACTGACGTC